CTGAAAGGCTCATTTTGTCAATAATTTGTATGAATGTGTTAATTAAGTTTGACAACAAATTGAATATGTATAAAATGTGTTGCAAATTTGGATTTGTATGAATGTGTTAATTAATGAGATGCAGTTTGCAAATTAATGAAATAGAATTAAGCTACATGGAGTGAGTAACTGATTTAGTGAATCACTAATTTCTATATTTTATTGAATAATTAAGCTCATTATAAATGAGACTAGTTAATGTATTGAATGCTGAGATGATGGAAAATGTCGCTCACATTCTAGAAATGCTGTTGGGTCGGATTGTAAGATTGAGGATTTCCATTATATTTGGTCAAATGCAGTCATTGAAAGAAGATTACAAATATTATTTTCCCACAGACAGGAATTTGCTTTGCATTTATGTGAGATTGTATCAGTGTCTTGGGAATACTATGTAAGTTTTAATAGTTGGGAAAGTATGTGTCGATATTCAAAGATGGATTTGTCACCCCTCTTGTAAAATGAATCATAAACACGTTCATGCATTTCTGGGGTTCCGAGGTGAGGTGATATTTTGGCATCCTGTTGCATGAGCAAATTCTGTAGATCTTGTCAGATGTGCACTTGACAGAATGGATTTTCACCCCCAGACTCAGGACCAAGACACACAAGGGAAATAGTTACAAAATCAGAAATTTCTGGAGAAACCCAACAGGTCTGACAGCATCCGTGGAGAGAAAGCAGAGTTAACATTTCAGGTCTCATGACCCTTTTTCAGAACTGATTCAGAAGGAAAATAGTTGCCCATTGTTCCTATTGAAGTGTCAGTTTAGTTAATGTCCAGTGAGTAGGTTCATGATCAGTTTTGGATAGCAAGTGAGTTCCCAACATTGGCGGGCCAATGGGAAATTCTACAACAACGACAAGTTTGATATAGAAATAGGGCTTATCTTTACCACAATCTGTCACTTGTTCCAAGCCTAGTGTAGCCCTCACAAAAATGATAAATCATCAGGATCATGATAGATATGCTAGTTAGCAATGAAAACTTTCATGCCTGTCCACATCCATCCCCATAAACCCTTCAATTAGGGCTGAGGTGTGAACCTGATGGTTTCAGCACACATTAATAGTGATCAAATTTGGGCATCTCCCATTATCTTCAGAAAGCCCATTGGAAATAATGTGATGTATTCTCGTGAAAGCATCCCAGTACTTATGTTGGATTTCATTCATTGAATCTTATCAGAAACAGAGCTGTGCACAAGCGCCAATAAGCTTCAATCTCACAAATAAATGTAAGGATCCATCATTTTCTAACCTTGAGTTTTCTTTTTTTCAATTAATTTTATGACCCATCTTGAAATTCACTACTTAAACTGCTAATCAATATAGTGGAAAATGTTAAACATTGACGTTTTGTTTATTCATTCAAACTACAATACAAGATTTGTATAAACTTTGCAGTAAGTCCCAAAAAGTGCAAGTATTTAGTTAGGTTGATTTACAACCACCTCATGAAATACTTTACAATCTGATTAACTTGCCTGCCTAGCAAAATTCTCTTGACCTGTTGTGTGGCATGAATAAATTCCACAAATACCCCTGTATACACACACATTGTATGAAAACGAAGTGAGTGCACTGCACAGTTAATAAATTCCAGGTCTGCTCTGACTATTCCCTCAAAACAAAATTAACGGTCTCATGTACCAGATTCAGTGTCTTTTACAATCATGAATAATAATATTTAGTATTCCAATAGCATGATTTGAGATTGTAACGATAATAATTTCATGTTATTATAAGAAACTGGATGTCATAACCTCGCATATAAATCCTGTGCAATACTCCAGTCTTCTAAGATGGAGCCAATGCATGTCCTGGTCAGATAAAGTCAATGAAAAATGAAGAAGTTGGCTTTCTTCATGGATTCTAATTGACAGAATAGAGTAGTAATTTTAGATGATTAACTTCTTTTATGATGCTTCCTGCAAGATATGAAACAATAAAGAATGCTACACTACCCTGTTAGCAGGCTAACTTGTCCTAGTCTGCCTTATCATTGCATTTGTCCAGCTGTCATCTTAATGGAAGCTTGTCTCCTACATGTTTCCTTTGGCAGCCTTTCTCTGAATTAACTCACTAATGATATCTTTAATCCTTCTTTTGTTTTGCTCCTGAACAGGGAGTTGACTATTCAATCTTGTGACTCCTTTCTGCTGCTGGGTTATCAGAGCCATTTGTTAAGCCGCCCAGCACCTCCTCGATCAAAACAGCTACTATAGCCCACTTCTCGCAAGATGAATAGAGTCATTCTATCACAATAAGTTGAGATGGTTCACAGAAACTCTCACTGAACTTCCATTGTTTTATTTGAAATTTGACCCATTTCCCTTGGTTTCTACGGGTATATTTCCTCCTCACCCTATTTCTGCCTTTAAAAAATTGTGAATTAAATTAAACTGGAATATAAATCACATCCACAGCATTTGTGGCTTAAGTCAAAAGTCCCAAAATAGTAAATTCACTAGATCTTCAATCCAATATTAACCATCTGCTTTGTTGTTAGGCTGATACTTTCATATTGACTGAACTTAATGTTAATGGAGAGTAAAAATAAATTATATTTCCCTTTCTTTTGCCATTTAGTGTTAAACACATTCACTTTGTTGTTCACCCAATTCAATGATCACTGATAGGAAAAAAAGTTGAAACATTGTTTTCTTTTGTTCTGTGCATTCCCTTTTCAGATGCACCCATTGTAATCTAGGTATTCTACTTGTTCTGTGTTTATTTCTCACATTCATCACATACCACCCCAACAACCTCCGCATCCGGCATATCATCCTCCGCAATTCCACCACCTACAATCCGACCTCACCACCAAAGAAATATTTCCCTCCCCACCCCTATCTGCCTTCTGTAGGGACCGCTCACTCCGCGTCTCCCTCGTCTGCTCCACACTCCCCACTAGCCCCACCACCCCCGGCACCTTTCCATGCAACCGCAGGAGGTGCTACATTGCCCCTACACCTCCCCCCTCATCCCCATCCAAGGCCCAAGACAAACTTTCCATGTCCAACAGGGGTTCACCTGTACATCCTTCAACCTGATATACTGTATCTGCTGCTCCTGATGTGGCCTCCTGTACGTCGGTGAGACCAAGCACAGATTTGGGGACCAATTCGTAGAGCATCTGCACTTTGTACGCGATAATCAACAACACCTTCCGGTCTCGAAACATTTTAACTCTGCCTCCCACTCCCTGGGTGACATGTCCATCCTGGGCCTCCTCCAGTGTCACAATGACACCACCCACAAACTGGAGGAGCAGCACCTCATATTCCACCTGGGGAGCCTACAGCCAGAAGGCCTGAGCGTAGAATTCACCAGTTTTAAAATCTCCCCACTCCCGACTTCATCTCACGTCCAAACATCCCTCTCATCCCTCCCTCCTTGATCTGACACAACCTGTCCATCTTCTTCCTCACCTTTCCGCTCCACCCTTCCCACTGACCAATCCCTACTATCCCCTTCTTACATCCACCTATCACCACCCCACTTCCCCTCCCCCAGACCCACCACTCTTCCCTCTCGCCTCCTTGACCTGACACAATTTGTCTGTCTTTCTCCCCACCTATCCGCCCCACCCTTCCAACTGGCCAGTGCCCACTACTCCCTGCCTGCATCCACCTATCGCCATTCCACCTGCCTTCCTCCAGCCCTCCCCCTCCTCCCTCTATTTGTTTCCCAGCTGCCTTCCCTCTCCCCCATTTCTGACAAAGGGTCCCGACCCGAAATGTCAACTTTGCTGTTCCTCTGATGCTGCCTGACCTGCTATGTTCCTCCAGCTCCAAACTGTGTTGACCCCGACTCCAGCATCTGCATTTCTTGCTGTCCCTTTATTTCATTACCAGTTCACAATAAACTGATTACATGCATATGACAAAATGGACAATTATATGGTTGGACAAAAAATTAATGCCTCAAGATGCCAGCTTATTTCAAACAAGTTTTTATTTTTAATGCCACCCATAAAGAATAAATTGCAGTTTGATGTGCATATTTTTGAATATGATTTATTGTATTGCATCTCTATAAGTTTAGAGAAGATGCTTTGTTTCTTGAGGGCAAGTCTATAATTAAGTTCAAAAAATCCATGTCATGACAGCCCTAAAATCATGTGTCCCTCCAGTTTGTATTCCTTTGTAAAGTTGCATATTGCCAAAGTTGTTATATTTTTACATCTAAGTATTTTACAATATGTGCCTGAGACTTATTTAGCTCCCTGGTGCAGCATAAATTATATTACTTTAATTTGTGTTATTATAGCATAATTGTTTGGACAAACTTTTTAAATTCAAATCAACTAGACAGATCAAAATTGGGCCTGTAAAGCTGATATTTCTACTTCTGTTTCCAGGTTGAGTAGTTGCCAGAGATAGTGCATAATCTTTAGGAGAACAAAAGTGGTGTTTTTTTTCACTTTGGTAAAACTAAAGGGTCAATGATAGTTGGACATCTGGACCAATAAAGTGTTGGACATTGCCTCACAGGCTTGGGGTTAAAATGTGAGATTCCTCTCTTCATATTCTGCACCCATTAAGTTAGCTTTGCCAAATTTCATGAGGATACCCTCATGGTATTCCCTTTTTGAGATTCGGAGAATGTTTAAAATAAAATAATCTAAATATGTAAGTAGATGATAAAGCATACAGCTCAGTAAAACTCTTGACAAAAGTAAAAGTTAAAAAAAAAAACAAATTTTTGAAGCCTTACTTTGGTCTAAAAAGTCATCTTTCCCTCATTTTCAAGGCCTGTTGAGGTTTTCACAGAAGTTAACTTGATACCTAAGGACTGCATATTTTCCAAACTTGCATCATTTTTCTTTGTTTTTCTTACCTACAAACAGAAGGTGCATACGTTGAAATGAAGCCAATTATATTTGCAAGTTGTTACTTTTGTATGTTTGTAAGGAATGCTATTCCATGCTTTTAAATTCTGTTTTATTTTTTCAGCTGCGAAGCTCATTTAAGCAAGCCTTTACCCTCAAAAAGGCACCAAAATCAGCATCTTCCTATTCCGACATTGAAGAAATTGCAACACCAGATTCTTCAGTGCCATCTTCCCCTAAAGTGCAGCATGAAGATGCAGATTCATCGGCCTCCATCAAACCATCGCATTCATCCACCGAGTAAATAAAACGAAATATTTTCTGCTTTTTTTTGTTTGCAGTTCTATGAACTGTTCTCAGATAGAATATATTGAACTATGATAATTGACTTCTGAAGTTGATTTGTTCAATTGTCAGGCATTTATATAAGCGCCTTTCATGACCTCAGGACTTCACAAAATGCTTCACAGCCGGTAAAATACTTCGAGTGCTATCATTGTTCGAATGTAGGAAACACACCTGTTGATTTGATTTTGTTTGTCTTTGGCACGAAGCGTTGAGTCATAAGAACTGTACTCGCAGAACTTCATGGTGGGCAGGGGGTCATTTGTTCCTGTCTTAATTGTGTAAAATTTGTGAAACGGTAGAAAATATTTCATGTGTGAAATTTTCCAAAACTTGCCTTGTGTGAGAGCCTGCATCCGTTGCTGATAAGTGATGTAGTTACCACTTAAATGATGTATGCTCTAAGACAAGCAGACGTCATAGAGTCATAGAGAAATACAGCATGGAAACAGGCCTTTCGGCCCAAACTGGTCCATGCTGACCATAGCCCACTCAGCTACTTCCAATTGCCTGCATTTGGTGCATATCCCTCTAAACACTTCCTATCCATGTACCTATCCAAATGTTTCTTAAATGTTGCTATTGTGCCTGTCTCAACCACATTCTCTGGCAGCCTATTCCATATACACACTACTCTCTGTGTGTTAAGATGTTGCCCCTCAGGTCCTTCTTAAATCTATCCCCTCCCACCTTGAACCTATGCCCCCTAGTTTTCAATTCCCCATCCCTAGGAAAAAGACTATATGCATTCATCCTATCTATGCCCCTCATGATTTTATACATCTCAGTAAGGTCACTCCACCTCCCCCCCCCCCCGCCACCCCATTCTCCTACTTTCCAAGGAATAAAGTCCTGTCCTGGCCAACACAGTCTTTGTTGCACATAATGAGTTTGGGACTCTATCAGTGGTGGTATGTGTGGATTGGCAATGGAGCTTTGACTTAGGTTAGACAGCTTTGAAATCTTTGAATGTCTTCAAGTAGCCTGTGAAAGTTCTTGAGATAGAGAAGGCAGGTGCAAACTTCCCTGTACAGTGTGAATAATCCTATTAAACAATTTCCTAAGATTGCAACAGCTTTCTTCACCTGATCCTTGCTTCTACCAAGTATAGATTACATCGAATTTATTGCATGAAAACAGTAAAACAGAGCCAGTACCTCAAGGAGAGCATGACACCACTCTCAACTGTCGGAGGGGAGAAATAAGATGAACTGCGTGTTGTCGAAGGGAGAGTGGGGTGAGGAAGAGTAAAAACATTTCCACTGGAACCCTCACTGCTGCTGACATTTCTGAGCTTGTGTTCTGAGTTTGATATTTTCCATTCCTGCACGTTTACTTGTTTGGAGCTTTCTCAGTGGTACACTGCTACACTGACAGGAAACCTTGAGGACTGCTTCAAACCTGCCTTTCAAAGTCGTTGAGAGCTCTGGGATAAAATATGGCTGGTTAAAAGGGGAGTCATAGATCCTTTCCCAGTGCCTGCCCACCAAATGTGGAAATCTAGCCCAGCCCAAGTCTTTGTGCAAACCTCAGCTCCGAGTCGGCACCATTCCATCTCCTGGACAGTGAAGATTGGCTTCCTGGCAGTTTTGAAATGCACCAAATATTTTGTTATACATACTTGCCTTCGGTAGCTTGTTCCATCAAAGACCGCAAATGTATCCTGTCCAGGTGATGCAATGTGCATTTTTGCCCTCAGCCAGCTGGCATCCATATGACCCTTGTCCCCAGCCTTCCTTCAGTCTGCTGATGACCATGTGCAGATCCCATCTCTAGTCTTTTCCTTTTATGATCTATGCAGTGCCTGATATTAACTCTGAGCTGGCAGCTGCAAGTACACAATCCGGTGACAGTGATATATCTTTATCATCACTTTCATCTTGCTGTTTGTCTAGCACCTGGGCAGGTGTTATCAACATGGTCTTCAAGAAGGTCTTTGACAAAGTGCCGCACAGGAGGCTGCTGAGTAAGATAAGGGCCCATGGTGCTAGCAAGGTGCTAGCATGGATAGAAGATTGGCTGTCTGGCAGAAAGCACAGGGTGGGGTTAAAAGGGTCTTTCTCAGGATGGCAGCCAGTGACAAGTGGTGTTCTACAAGGGTCAGTGTTGGGACCACAACTTTTCACTTTATACATTAATGATCTAGATGAAGGAACTGAGGGCATTCTGGCTATGTTTGAAGACAATACAAAGATTGGTAGAGGGGCAGATAGTATTGAGGATACGGGGAGGCTGCAGAAGGAATTGGACAGGTTAGGAGAGTAGGCAAAGAAGTGGCAGATGGAGTACAACGTGGAAAAGTGTGAGTCATGCACTTTGGTAAGAAGAATAAAAGCATGGACTATTTTCTAAATGGGGAGAAAATTCAGAAGTCTGAAGTGCAAAGAGACTTGGGAGTTCTAGTCCAGGATTCTCTCAAGGTAAATTTGCAGGTTGAGTCAGTAGTTAGGAAGGCAAATGCAATGTTGGCACTTATTTTGAGAGGACTTGAATATAAAAGCAGGGATGTACGTCCGAGGTTCTATATGGCTCTGGACAGGCCACGTTTGGAGTATTGTGTGCAGTGTTGGGCCCATATCTTAGGAAAGATGTACTGGCCCTGGAGTGGGTTCAGAGGAGTTTCACAAGAATGGCCCCAGGAATGAAAAGCTTAACATATGAGGAATGTTTGATGACTCTGGGTCTATACTCGATGGAGTTTAGAAGGATGAGGGGGGGATCTAATTGAGACTTACAGAATACTGAATGGCCTGCACAGAGTGGATGTTGGGAAGATGTTTCCGTTGGTAGGAGAGACTAGGACCCGAGGGCACAGCCTTGGAGTAAAGGGAAGACCTTTTAGAACGGAGAAACTTCTTCAGCCAAAGAGTGATGAATCTATGGAATTCACCGCAACAGAAGGCTGTGGATGCCAGGTCATTGAGTACATTTAAGAAAGAGATAGATAGGATCTTGATTGTCAAGGGGATCAATGGTTATGGGGAGAAAGCGGGAGAATGGGGTTGAGAAACCTACAGCCATGATTGAATGGCAGATGGGCTGAAGGGCCTAATTTCTGCTCTTATTGTCAAGTCTTTAGAGCTTTGATAGGGAATCAAAAAAAACACAAGGCTTAAGTTGTGTTACGAGGAAGGTGTACAAGTAAGGAATGCATTCTTACACCATCTATCGCTTGTAAATCAGGAAGTATGGTGGAAAAGAGGTAAGTGGAATATTAAGATCATATTCCAGCAGTAGAATATTAGGATCAGGACTGATGATAGTATCATGATCTGTGGTTTCATCACCACCACTGACTATTGGCTTCACCAATCACTGTCCTAGACTGTCAATGCCACAATGTTAAAATTCTTATCCTTATATTCAAATGTTGCCCTGGCCTCTTACAATCTATCTATGTAACCCCCTCCAGCTCCTATGTGCGAGAGTCGTTGACACCCCTGTTCTTACCCATTCCTGTTTCCATTTCTACACCATTGGGAGCCTCAGCTTTGCTGCTAACACCTGATTGTCTAGGATTCGCCCCGTAAACCTCTCAACCTACCTATGTGTGTGTGTCTCTCTCTCTCTGTCACCTCTTAATTTTGTAAATGCTATTTCTTTGACCAAACCTTGGAATACTCCTAACATCTCCTCACTTTACTGGGTGTGAGAATTTTGTTTGATTGTACTCCTGCGAAGCACCTTGGATATTTACAATTTTACAGGCATTGTATAAATGCAAATTGTTCATGAATTTAGGTCACAGATAAGTCATGATCATATTAAATGATGAAATGAGATTGAGAGGCTAAATTGCCTACTCTTGTTGCATGTTCCCATTTGAGTTGCATTTGATTCATGACAGCAATCTAACAAAACTCGTCATTCTAACTCCAATTTCTGATGTGGTGTGAAAACGCTCTTATTGTCCTGAGAAGAAACCAAACTGTTTTTAATGCAGGGTCTATGATTCCCGTGAGCCTGAGTTGAAGGAAGTATCGAACCTACGCAATGAGTTGTGGGATAAGGAAAGGAAACTAACAGATATCCGCCTCGAGGCTCTTAGTTCAGCTCACCAGCTGGAGCAGTTACGAGAAGCCATGCATAACATGCAGGTATGTTGCTTATTGAGCAAGGGAATCAAACCTGTACAAATGCAGACTGTTTGACTGCTTGAGTCAATCTTACTTCTTGGCCACTTATGAAGTACCTTTTTGGTCAACATTGTTTATTATGTGAGAACAGTTGGCATTAAGAAATGTTGTCAGACCTGTCATTAAGGTGGAAGCTTAATATTTGGCTAGCAGCTTGCCTTGCTGAAGGACACATGAATATGACAACAACAGATACTCTGCTCAATGAATAGATAAGCCCTCACCTGCATTTGGCAAGGTTTGAGGGGCATGCTGGTACCTTCTTCACCAGCATCTGTGAATATTTTAACTGGCTTTAGTTACTGGAACCTGTTTCACTTTACTAATGTCATGAGTCAAAATTCAGTTTTTTGAACTTATTTAACATTGTCTTATTTGCCTTTAGATATGTCATTAGACTTTTTCACATATTTTGAAGATTACTGAAAGGAGCCTGTGTGTTGAAAGTTGTTTTTGGAGTTCTGAAACAGATGGCTACTCAAAACTAAATTATTTTCTAAGATTCAGTCTGAAGCACAACCCAATTTAAATCTAATTCTTGGTGCTAGGAATATTTTTGAATATAAGCTATTAAGAAAAAAGTTGATTAAGTATCAAGCAATTATCATCGACACATCCACCAGATGGTAAAGCACTGTGCATCGCATGATGATAAAAGTAGTGTAAACATGTTATATTGGTGAATATGTCAGAAATAGTTTCCAGATTGCAACACTACAGTAGTGAGAAATTACAATATTCTTAAAGGAATGTTCATAATATTGTCTTATTCTTCCTTGCATTATCCATGTCATTAAAATTACATGCCATAAAGTAACCAGCCTCCCAATCAGGTTTCCCACCTTTACTATGTCCCTAAGGTTTCTTCACAGGGAAAAAAAAGTCTGAAATAACAACCAAGTTCAGCCCACATTTAAAAGCTATTTTTAAACTTCCAATTACCATACACAGCTTCTCAGCTGAGAGAACAGTGGGCCGATGCATGCAATCCCTTCCAACTGATTACTGGAAGTAATGGAAGAGTAGTCAAGATCAGACCACCCACTGGATTTCTTCTCCCTCCCCATGGAGGAACATCCCTCCTTCATTCAATACTTGACAGTCCAGATGAAAGCAAAAGCTGTTGTGCAGAAAACTGTTGTCACAAATTTACATCCAGTTACTCTTGTTTTATTATAACATTGTCCATGTAATGTTGTCTCATTCAAATGTGATGTTTGAAGAGTCGGACTTTTAGACTCGATTGTTGGAGGCTCGAGTATATTTCTCACAACTCTCCACGTGGCTGGTAGGGTGATTGCTTGACACCTGACTACAGTGTAGCAGTTAATGTGGCACCCCAGGTGTACATTTCATAAGTTATGTAACAACATAATAGGCCAGACACAATTAAATTGATACCACAAGCCATTATATTCCTTGCTTTAAGGTTCAGACATTCTTACTAACGTCTTCTCTCAGACAGTACCAGCATAATGTAGCCATACTCACTGTAGGGATTGGTTAGCTCAGTTGGTTGGTTTGTGAGTGTGCCAGTTTGCAGGTTCAGTTCCTGTACCTGCTGAAGTTACCTTAACTGTGCCAAATTGATCATCTACTAAAAGGAAGTGTTTCTCCATATCTACTCTGTCTGTCCCCCTCAGAGCTTTGTACAGCTCAGTCAGACTCCCCTCTAGCCTTCTCTGCTCTAAGGAAAACAACCTCAGCCAGTCTAGTCTCTCTTCATTGCTCCAGCCCAGGCAACATCCTGGTGAATCTTTTCTGCACCCTTTCTAGTGCAATCATATCCTTCCTATAGTGTGGTGACCAGAACTGTACACAGTATTCCAGCTGTTGCCTACTAACATTCTATACAGGTTCATCATAATCACCTTGCTCTTGTATTTAATGATGAGACTAACAAAGGTAAGTATCCTATATGCCTTCTGAGTCTCATTATGTACCTGTCCTGCCTTCAAGGATATATGGACAAAGATCAAATCCACTCTGGTCCTCTACTTCCTAGGTCTCATGATCTGACATATCTCTCAATCTAGTATTACCTTCAAGCCAGGGGATCAGCTCTGCTTTCAGGAAGAGTGAAAGGAGGATTTGCCAGGGGCAGCAAGCATTCTTAAAAATGTGGTGTCAACCTTGAGAAGCTGAAACCACTAGACTACCTGCATATCAAATAGAATGAACATGTGATGGAGCTCAGTATTCGCACAACCAATAGATCAGACAAATCTTCGCAGTACTACCACATCTAGTTATGAAATGCTTGACAATTAAGCAACTAGCAGGAGGGGTGGGTTCACAAAGTACTAATCTCCATGAGGGGATGAGGACATTATTGCATAAGACAAGGCTGAAACATTTGCACCTACCTTCAATCAAGGGAGGAGAGCACAATCCCCTTCTGACTGCTGAAGACCCCAGCATCACATACGTAATTTTCTGCCAATTCAGTTCACCCATGTGCTTTCAAGAGACAACTGAAGTCAGTCAATGCCAGAAAGGCTATAGGCCCTGACAACACTTTGGAAATTGTATGAAAGACATCTACTCCAGAACTAACTGTGCCCTATGCCACAATGTTCCAGTAAAGCTACAACACTGACATCTACTTGACAATATGGAAAATCACCAGGTATGTCCTGTATACACAATGCAGGACAAATCCAATCCAGACAGTAATTATGATAGGCAATAAATGCTGGCCTCGCCAGTGACACCTACATCCCATGAAAGAATGATTTAAACACAGTGTGCTGAATTATGTAAATCTGATTTACCACAGTTTCGTAATTCACATTCTGAACAAAATGTAAGACTACTTTTTCTCAGTGCACAATGATATCTGCTTGAACCTGAATCATAATTGTATTTTATTTTTATATGTTGTGATAGCGTGACTAAGTGAGAACTTCCTGTGCCTGCCACTTTTCATCTATATTTTGTGAACCAAAATTTGAGGATTTATAAATGGGCATAGGTTTCCTTTTTTACAATTTGGGCAGAACCCTAGCAGTGCAGATTATTTGTCCATTGTAAAACAGACTGATTTCAATTATATTTCTTTCAGTGAAATGTAAAGCAGATGAGTTTGTCAGTGCCTAGGCTTTCTGCTTTGTCAGATTATCACCCAGGCAGCAAAGATGTGAAACTACATAATGACGTTCTCAAAGACTGCAGTAATTTTTCATTTGCAAAACATTTGATAATTTTTTAAAATGTGTATTTCTCTCTTTGATCTTGATGTTGTATGTTTATATAAATCTGCATTGTAAGCCTTTAAGTAAGATCTGTAAAAGTACAGATTGACCAGTTCAATGGGATATTTTTGCGAAGAGTAATTTTCAATTCATAAGTATTGAAAATATCAAAACACTTTTAAAGTGATATCAGGTGTGGAAACTTCAAGGATTTTCTTTTTATAACTTAATACTTGGCGTGTAATGCCAACATACAATAAGAGACAAATGTGTTCATTAAACTACTCTTGCCTTTATAGGTGGAAATTGAGGCATTAAAATTGGAGAATGACCGTCTCAAAGCAGATACAGGTACTGGGACATCACAGGCTGTCACATTATCGTCTGCCACTTCCTCTCCTCGGCGATCATTAGGACTTACCTTAGCTCATTCATTCAGTCTCAGTCTTACAGATTCGGTTGACCAAGGTAATAATGAATACATGTTTTATACTGCATTTTCAAATGTTTGTCTTGACAATATTTTTGACCCACAAAACAGAAAAACCTCTGATGTCTATAACTTCTCTCATCAACTACAACACTATTAATACTGCCAAAACTGATTTAATAATAAATAAGGTCTTCACCTCTGGCATGTTATGGGAACTCAGCTTAGAAAACTGAAGCATCTTTCCTCCCCACCCATGCCATAGACAGCAGTTGTTGTTTCCTTGTCTGTTATTATTGTCACTTTTGCCTGGCCTCTTTTTGTTCAGCCTTCTATTTGATTTACTCAATTTTAATCAGCTTGCTTAAAAGCAGAAATTAGGCACTGATTAGAGAAATTTGACAGGATTCAGGTGCTCAACTTCTTGACTTAAAATTCATATTCCATGATTACCCATCAGTTGGAAATCCCCCTGATATTTCCATAACAACTTATTGTAAACTCCAAGTCCTCCATGGTATTAAGCATTAATGTGTTTGCATCTAGTTTAGGAGCTGTTATCCTTCAATACAATGGAGTTTTGTTTTCACCTACATTTGTTATAGATGTGTAATTAGTGCAACATAGAAAGAATGCTGAAGTTTGCTCCCACTTGTTAAATGCTGTTTTTCAGTATTTTGTTTGGTCTCCAATTCAGATGTATCACCAATGGATGGGGTAACCAGTTCATCCCTGAAAGAGGAAAGGAATGTTCGAATTGTGGTCCATCTCACTGAGGAGCAGATTTGCAATGAAGTAAGATACGTATTAATATAGACATAATTTGTAATAATGATACAATGTGTAGACTATATTGGTTTCTCCAGTCAAGGCCATGAATAGTTGAATCATAGGGCTCAATTTTACTGGTCTCCCATGGGCAGAAAATTAGGTGGGTGCATGTGTAAATTAGGGCACCGTGTCTTTGGCAGTGAGCTCAGTACTGGCCCACTCATCCTGCCCATGCCATGGTTTTGCAGGCATCAGAGGAGTTGTTGGGTGGGTTCTCCAGCTGCGGCCCAATTCAGGCTCATGAATGGGCAATGAATGCCCAACTAACAGTCTCATCTTGGTGCTGCTCCAATCTAACGGGCAGCCGCACAGGCTTGTTGCCAGTATGTAGCCAAGCAGGTTTAGCCTTGCCTGTCAGCGCAGCCCCACATAGATCCTAGACATACCTAAATGTCCAGGTCCATCACTGAATGCTGCCTCCTTGACTACTTGCAGTACCAGCTATGACCACTGCTCCTGCTTGGCGCCAGCAGTGTGCAGAGCTGCCAGCCTCCAATTGGCCCACAGTTTGATGAAGTGGGAGTTCTCCTGAAGATAGACTGAAGTCCTGACTCATATTAATCACAGGGTAAAATTGAAGTAATGGAGTCAGCTAAGCAAAAATGCGGTTGCAGAGAGCTCAGTCTCTTTGTAAAATCCAGTCCCTGCAGGCAGAACGATCCCTGGTTATTATCCTTGGTCATCAGCAATTGACCTCTGCACTCTTGGTGAAGGAGATAAAAATGAGTTCATGTTCATGCTCCCATTTGCTATCATCAAGGGCATACATTCATGTTGGACGTGTACAGATTCAGGGTCATCTGTGAAGACCCTTGTGTCTTCCATATCAGGATTTCATATCCATAATTTACCCTGCCAATATTTCTACATTTGCTGCTAGTGGGTAAAGACTGGGAAGACGTACACACTGATCTTTGCTTCCTTATGAAGTTGAGTGAACAAGCATGCAACGTTTAGCATTTAGGAAGGGGTATCCCAATGAAGAGTTAGCATCTTAAAACAAGAAGGAAGGAAGAGAAAATTTTTGAATGAAAAAGAAGAGTGGACAAAAACATAATCATTGTTCTGTACTTCAAAGATACTAAGAACTGCATATGCTGGAGTCAGAGTCAACATAGTGTAGAGCTGGAGGAACACAGCAGGTCAGGTAGCATCAGAGGAGCAGGTGGCATGGTGGCTCAGTGGTTAGCACTGCTGCCTCACAGCGCCAAGGACCCAGGTTCAATTCCACCCTTGGGCGACTGTCTGTGTGGAGTTTGGACATACTCCCCGTGCCTGCGTGGGTTTCCTCTGGGTGCTCTAGTTTCCTCCCACTGTCCAAAGATGTGCAGGTTAGGTGAATTGGCCATGCTAAATTGCTGGTAATGTTCAGGGATGGGTTATAGGGGGATGGGTCTGGGTGGGATGCTCTGAGGGTCAGTGTGGATTTGTTGGGCCGAAGGACCTGTTTCCACACTGTAGGGATTCTATGAAAGTTGACATTTCAGGTCAGGACCCTTCACAGAACTTATTTCTGAAGAAGAGTCCTGAAATGAAACAACAACTCTCCTGATGCTGCCTGACCTGCTGTGTTCCTCCAGCTCCACACTGTGTTGACATTGCTTTTTGTTTCATTTCTTTTTAATGTATGAAGCTTGATTGTCCAATCTTTCGTATTCTTCAATGTCGAAATGAATTTTGCTGTGTAATGGGAGACCAGTTGAAATTAACTAGCAGAATAATTTCTCTGTTTCAGGACTATAGTTCTTTTGCAAGCAAGCTAGAAGTGCATGAGCTGAGCAGTAGGCTCATAATTTTCCCACTATGTTTGGCCACAGATTCAAGATTGCCGGTGAAAGAGCTCCCCCGACAGGAATTATTGCCCATGAACTTCAAAGATAACAGCAATTTACAGAATGCACTTAACTATGTCATGATGCCATCAGCAGTTCTTCCCTCACTGTTGTTAAAAGAGAGACCGAACTGTTTATTGCCTTTAGCGCTCACCCTGTTATTTGGGAGGATGTGATTGTCTTCTTAAAGCTTTCTTCTGCATTTATAGGCAGGTACATAGGGAAGCTAGTAGATCTGTGGTCACAACAGGAAGTAACGTTTGCTGGCAGGAACAATGGAGTTGAACGGTGTCAGAGAGGATTAAGAAGGACCTATGTGGAGAGACAAATGCAGGCCAAATTTACACTACCTGTCCTCCTAGTTTAATCCTTTTAATTCCTGAAATAATTGTAGTGAATCTGCACTGTAAGGCAAAATGTATTTCCTGAGATGCAGTGCCCAAAATTGAACAAATCCCTAGATTGATGTGACTAAAGCTCTTTACAGCTGAAGTATAACATGCCCCCTTTTTGACTGTTGTCTAATAAGACTGCAATACATTGTTCCATTATCCTTTCTGATCACTTTTTTTTTGTACCTCTGAACTAGTTTGTCATCTGTGTACACGGAAGATCTTCACTTTTCTGCAGTTCTCATTTTCTTCATTATTAAGCATATATTTTGATTTTTTTTTGTTTAAGTCAACCCTTGTGTTATTTGCACACTGGATGAGCAACATTAAATGGAGCCTTTGATTGAGCAAAAGCACCAAACTGTCTCTTCATGGTTAATAGCAAAACAAAAGATGATTGCAGTTTTAATTTGTTGCAATGAAAGGTGAAATGGTATGACACAATTTTACTAGAATTAAAGAAATAGGTATCTCACGAATAATTTACCCAGTTGACAGTCCCCATGTGAAATTATTACAAAATAAGACTATGATAATGTTGGTCTAAGGCATCATCATTAGATTGACAGGCAGCACTTTTCCTTCTTCCCTTCTCTCATCCTAAATAAGATAGTAAACTTTTCATAATCACTTGATTATTGCTGATTCAAGCTGTTGAGAATATGTTAGATAAAGACTGAGTGGGTTTAGAATTGGTAATTATAGCAATTCAGGCCTAGGAAGTTAATTGACATTCCTTCTTAAAGTCTAATTCATTGATGATGATGTTGAGGCCTATTGACTCTTGCCAAATTTGAAACCCTCTGGCCTAACCATTGTAAGACACTTCTGTCCTTTAAAAGAAACTTTAAAGCTTGCAACTCCTCTAATGGTACTTACAGATAAATTAATTTTTGAATTCCCTGGCAAAATGACAGGAAACATTATGACAACACTCTCACATCATTTGCATTGAGTATAGATACGACTGAAACTCTGCTTCTTCTCTGCCTACTACCGAAAAGAGTGAGCACATAAAGCTGAGGATAATGTTCTCTCACCATCTTAAGAAATTGTCTGACCCTGCGCTTTGCACTGTGCTGTTTTTAAAGCGAGACAAAAATAGCACCATTTAAACACAAAAAATATACTTGTTTTCTTCAGCAAAACCAACAATTTCTTTATCATTTTAAGTAAATTGTCTAGGAGTTGAAGTTAAGCTGGCTAATTGAACAGCTTAGCTTGCAGCCTAATCTTTTTCTTTAGTCCCCAGTGTTGTACACAAATTTGATATGTTTTGTAAATGTGCACACCTCACTGATGAACTTCCGGATAATTGAAAAATTGGAAATCAATGAGTTAGACACTGGAAAAGGATTTCAGTCATCTATCACCTTAAGCTCCAATTACAAAGTAACTGAATTTCGTTCATATAGCGTGTATGTGTGCATGCATGTATTGTTTCAAAATATTCCAGTAGGACACACAATCCTACCTCTTTTTTCCTTCCCCAGACCCAAAAGCAGCAAGAATTTTTCATTGGCTCCACCAAAGTAAATGCAACAACCGACTGGACTATTTTGGATGGAGTTATTTGTCAAGCATTTAAGGTATGTTTCCTTAGTTGCTATATGAGATGATTTTTCTACCTAGTATCCTTCTGACAATTGTTGTATGCAGTGAAAGATTTGTGTATGTAAAGCCAGTCAGCTACAGACTCCAATCAAGCTTCCCAATGCTACTTGCCAATCAAGGGTTTTTGAACATCAGTCAGCTCAAACGCCAACCTGTATTTGGAGCAAACCTTTAAGGGGGGGGAGTTTTGGCAAGAGGGTTGTGTAACCAGACTGGCAGCACCTTGTGGTGCAGAATCGGTCTGATTAGGCCAAAGCGGATCTGGAAAAAAAGCTGACCTGAATCCAAAAATAGATATTTGGACTCAGAATAGTATATGCAAAGTATTTCACACTTGGAAGGTGCCATTTTCAAATTTGGCAGGAAACGCTCCTGGACTGAAATATTTTCTAGAAGTGGAGACCACTTCTCAAAGTGTGCACCTCTGCTCTAATTTCACCCATCAGTCGTAACATGACACAGTTTAGAATCATAGAATTTTACAGTGCAGAAGGAGGACATTCGACTTATCATGTCTGTACCAGATCCTGAAAGAGCTACCCAGCGAGTCCCACTCTCCAACGCTATCTCTGTAGCTCTCTAACCTCATCACTTTCAAACATATATCCAGTTCTCTTTGGTAACCTCGTCCTCCATTCTCTCAGGTAGTGCATTCCAAATCATAACAACTCTGAGTAAGGAAGTTTCTCCTCCTCTCACTTCTAGCTCTCTTGCTGACAGTCTTGAAATTGTGACCCCTGGTTACTGACATACCAACAAGTGGAAAGAGAATATCCTTCTTTATCCTGTCAAAATTGTTCACAATTTTGAATACCTCAATAAGGTCACCCATTAATCCTGTCTGCTCCAAGGAGAATAAACTCTTTAATCTTTCTTTGTATTTAAAATCCTTAATTCCTGGCATCATTATAGTAAATCGCCTTTGAATTCCCTCCAGGGCTTTAACAGCTTTCCTTAAATAAGGTGCCCAGAACTGAGCACAATACTCTAAATGTGGTCTGACCATTGATTTGTAGAGATGCAACATTACTCCCTTGCTTTTATACTCTATGCCTCTATGCATAAACCTAAGGATCCTCTAAGCCTTCATAATAATGGTTTCAACTTGCTTGGCCACTCTCGGAGAGTTATGCACATGAACCCCAGGTCCCTCTGCTCCTTAGTAGAGTCTGTTTACTCCAGTTGACCTTTATCACTGTGTTTGTAAGGATGACCTTTCACAATATCTAGATATCTGAGATAACTAAGTGACATTCTTTTTACAGATTTTTCCCTTAAGTGAATAAATTCAAAACGGGCTTTCCTTTTATATGCAGACCTGATGTAGCAGTAATGTTTCCTGAATAGAAATCCAAAACCTCAGGCTAACAGTCTGTGGATACGAGTTTAAATATAGCGATATAAGATGGTGAACTTTGAATTCAATAAAAATTCTGGAATAGGAACATATACCCACTGTCAATTGTCATAAGAAAAAAGAACTGACTTACTAACGTCCTTCAGAGAATGAAATCTTTCATTCTTACCTGGTATGGCCTAGTAATTGAGACAGTTCAAGGGTAATCAGGGATGGACATAAATGTTTTCCCAGGCAGAAGTTCCATGAAAAAAAAATTCCACTGCCTTCTGATGTAATTATGTATTACATAGAACATAGAACATTACAGCGCCGACCTGTGAAACCAATCTGAAGCCCATCTAACCTAAACTATTCCATTATCATCCATATGTTTATCCAATGACCATTTAAATGCCCTTAAAGTGGGCGAGTCTACTATTTTTGCAGGCAGGGCATTCCACGCCCTTACTACTCTCTGAGTAAAGAACCTACCTCTGACATCTGTCTTATATCACCCCTCAATTTAAAGCTATGTCCCCTCGTGCTAGCCATCACCATCCGAGGAAAAAGGCTCCCACTGTCCACCCTATCTAATCCTCTGATCATCTTGTATGTCTCTATCAAGTCACCTCTTAACCTTCTTCTCTCTAACGAAAACAGCCTCAAAACCCTCAGCCTTTCCTCATAAGACCTTCCCTCCATACCAGGCAACATCCTGGTAAATCTCCTCTGCACCCTTTCCAATGCTTCCACATCCTTCCTATAATGCGGTGACCAGAACTGTACGCAATACTCCAAGTGCGGCCGCACCAGAGTTTTGTACAGCTGCAACATGACCTCATGGCTCCGAAACTCAATCCCTCTACCAATAAAACCTAACATACTGTACGCCTTCTTAACAACGCTATCAACCTGGGTGGCAACTTTCAGTGATCTATGCACATGGACACCGAGATCTTTCTGCTCATCCACACTACCAAGAATCTTACCATTAGCCCTGTAATCTGTATTCCTGTTACTCCTTCCAAAGTGAATCACTTCACACTTTTCCGCATTAAACTCCATTTGCCACCTCTCAGCCCAGCTCTGCAGCTTATCTATGTCCCTCTGTAACCTGCAACATCCTTCCGCACTATCCACAACTCCACCGACTTTGGTGTCATCCGCAAATTTACTAACCCATCCTTCTACGCCCTCATCTAGGTCATTTATAAAAATGACAAACAGGAGTGGCCCCAAAACAGATCCTTGAGGTACACCACTAGTAACTGAACTCCAGGATGAACATTTCCCATCAACCACCACCCTCTGTCTTCTTACAGCTAGCCAATTTCTGATCCAAACCGCTAAATCACCCTCAATCCCATGCCTCCGTATTTTCTGCAATAGCCTACCATGGGGAACCTTATCAAATGCTTTACTGAAATCCAAATACACCACATCAACCGCTTTACCCTCATCCACCTGTTTGGTCACCTTCTCGAAGAACTCAATAAGGTTTGTGAGGCACGACCTACCCTTCACAAAACCGTGTTGACTATCCCTAATCAAATTATTCCTTTCTAGATGATTATAAATCCTATCTCTTATAATCCTTTCCAACACTTTACCCACAACCGAAGTAAGGCTCACTGGTCTATAATTACCAGGGTTGTCTCTACTCCCCTTCTTGAACAAGGGGACATTTGCTAGTCTCCAGTCTTCTGGCACTATTCCTGAAGACAATGATGACATAAAGATCAAAGCCAAAGGCTCTGCAATCTCCTCTCTAGCTTCCCAGAGAATCCTAGGATAAATCCCATCCGGCCCAGGGGACTTATCTATTTTCACACCTTCCACAATTGCTAACACCTCCTCCTTATGAACCTCAATCCCGTCTAGTCTAATAGACTGTATCTCAGTATTCTCCTCGACTACATTGTCTTTTTCCTGTGTGAATACTGATGAAAAATATTGTTATGTTTGTGGTGTAACTAGTATGTTTGAGCTCTTCCTGCCTAGGATTATGATGTTGCATTCACAGGGATATTGCTCAATAAGGTAAGGAACGGGCCTTTAGTATTCCTGTTTACCAAATATTCAAGAATGATAAAGGCAGGTCTAACAATATTGATCAAGGATGATATTTCAGTTGTAAATAAGAGAAACACACTCATTTGTTTTATGACTGAATCTATTAGATTTCAATAGAGAAGCAGTTGTAATGTTGTTGGGAGGGTTTTGTAGAGCTTTAAAAAGTTTTTATAAAGTTATTTGAGCAATTATTTTTGGCAAACTTCTGGTGTGTAACAGAGCAGTGATATGTCATATTAGGATTGCCAATCACCGACAGCTTTTGGTTGGGGTAGAGTGCTGCCACGAATCTTCCTTTCTATTCTTTTAAACAAATCATTCAACAGGTTAGACAGTCCACGGTGCAACACTGTAACACCAGTCATTTTGCATCACCGATATCTTTTCTTGATCCCATTTCGTAATCTAATTTTGAACCATTATGTTTTGAATTGTGTTAAAATTCAGAATGATTGACAGTCATTTGATTCTGAACCTCTTTGTCCAAAGCTGTAAACCCATGTGATCTCGTCCATTGCCAAGTTTCATGCCCACTTATAGCACAGTTTCAGTTCCTATGCTCCAAATAGTTTTGTAAGATTTGCCACAGCATGTGAGGGCTCCTTAAAGTAGCTAATAAAACTGGATAGTTAAGTAATAAACTAGTCATTAAGTTTATTTGGTGGTCTCCAGCAGCTCTAAATAATGGTTCCATTCTAACTGTAAAATAGGCTTGTTTTGTGAAATGCTAATATAGTTCACTTGCTCCAAGTAAATATCTTATTCAAAATTAATGCAAGGCATGCAAGCCTATGCGCTACTTTCTTTCCATTGCAGTTCCCTAAAGTAGGCCAAAAGATTGTGGAATTTCAAATGCAAGTACAGCCAGCGTGATTGAGTTTCATGATCTTTTGCCCTGGATTAAAAAAGGACATCATACTGGATGTTGACCTCACCCACAAAACAACCAATGTCCCCAGATCTAGTTCATCACCATTGCACATTTCTGCCTATCACACCCCTTTTTGCAGGCCTTTGAAGGCAGTGTTAAAATTGAGCTTCTTTAGAGTGCAAAAAGACCTAATTGCCAAATTTTAAAATAAGCTTTTGAATAATTTTATGTAAATTAGTAAGAAAGCAATAACCCCAATATAAACAGCAACTGGTTACTTACATTAAGGTAACAGTGTCTTTCTTTGTCAAAAAGAAGTTGACATGTGTGATAAACTGATTCATATTAATCAAACTGCATACACTAAGTCGCCACACTTAAATTTATTAAGGAATGTCTCTCGTTGAGTGTGTTTCAATTTTGCACTCTACTCTACCCTGATAATCATTTGATAAACTCAAGACTTCGCTTTTAAGTATGAGCAGCAGCCTCCTGTACCCATCCTTAGCTAAGTTGGCTGACCTCAGATAATCACAACACACATATGCCAGGGTAAACCATACAGTAATAATACAATTTTGCTTTAGAACAGTTTATAAATCAGGGAACTTTCCTGAAGTGTTACTCCATTTTAGTTTCTTTGCAGTCCCTGTATTGTAACTGCAGCTGCTCAGTCTACATTTTTAACCAAACCCACCAGGTTGCTCCCGATCCATTCATTCCCACCATCTTGCCCAACCATTTTGTTCCTTCCCACTACAAAGTGAGGATCCCGGAGAGCAGCAACGGGTGGTGGGGGAGTGACAGGGGGAAGCAGAGAGAGAGAGTGAGGCAGCAAGAAGATAGTAGGAATCAGGAGAGAGAAGTTGAGCAATTGATAGTGAGGTACTTGAGAGTGAGAAATAACAAATAAGAGGCAAGTTGAGTCCGAGTTATAATTGAAAAGGAACTTTTCGGCCAGTTAGGTTCAAGGCAGCAAATAGGATTTTAATGTAGAGATTCCAAGTAAAGGACATAATCCAGCTTACTACCTGATTTCTTCTGGGAAAGTGATGTTTATTTAACATATTCTCAATTATCACCCCAATTATTTGTTGGGGGGTTGGGGGGAAGACACTGGGAGTGCCAAGCAGGAAGTTCATTTCACAGTTTCTGGGATCGGACGTAGTTTGAGGTGATGAAATCAGTCAGCACTTCCACTTCCAATTGTTATCCAGTACCAACAGCTGGAAGTTTCCACAATTACAGATTGGAGAATCGGTGAATATAGGAAGCGAACCAGCAAATCTTAGAAATGCTATGCAGGCAGCATCTGTGAAGATTGAAATCAAGTCAGTGTTTCAGTTTAATGACCTATCTTTAAGTGGTAGCAAGGTTGGCCTGTCTTTGGCACTCACTCATGATCAAACATTCTGCTGACAGACACTATCTAGCCTTATGTGAGTGGTGACCAGTCAAGCAAGGTAACTGGCACCACTTGGCTGGCATGCAGACAGAACTCAGCAAGGAGCTCAGCTCTCCAGGAGCAAATTGGCAATAAATATATTCCACTCTACAGGCCAATGCCCTTCTGAATTGCATAAGTCTGTGCGCTCTGTGCTGAAAGATCTGGCCAACACTATGCCCCTCATTATCCTGTTGAGTCACTGGCAGTATCCAAGCTCTACTGGACGCAAGACTATAATTCTGATTTTCATGTGAATTTTCCATAATTGGGATCAGTTGTCTTTGAGGAGCTTGGCTGTTTTGTACCAGAATCCACCATCAGGGAGGGTTGTTGTAGTGGACAGTAACAGGAGAAGGGAGATATTTGAAGGTTCAAAAAAAAGACAATATCCAGATAACCAGTGCATCAAACCAACAGTTTTATACTTAACTCCTTCCCTCCTCTTTTGCAAATATGGAAAATTCATATGAAAATCAGAATTATATTCTTGCGTCCATAAGACACAGTTGCAAAAATCAGGCCATTTGGCCCATTGAGTCTTCTCCACCATTCAATCATGGCTGATATAGTTCCTCACCCCCATTCTCCCACTTTCTCCCCATAATACTTGATCCCGTTGACAATCAAGAACCTATCTAATCTGTCTTAAATATAGTCAATGACCTGGCCTCCGCAGCTTTCTGTGGCAATGAATTCCATAGGTTCACAATTCTCTGGCTGAAGATGTTTCTGCTTATCTCTATCCTATAGGGTATTCCCTTTACTTTAAGGCTGTGCCCTCGGCTCCTAGTCTCCCCTGCCAATGGAAACATCTTCCCAGCGCCCACTTTGTCCAGGCCATTCAGTATTCTGTTTCAATTAGATTCCTCCCCTCATCCTTCTAAATTCTATTGAATATAGACCCAGAGTCCTCAAACATTCCTCATATGTTACGTTAAGCATTTCATTCCTGGGATCATTCTTATGACCCTCCTCTGGACCTGCTCTGGGGCATCCTTCCTGAGGTGTGGGGCCCAAAATTATTCACAATACTCTAAATGTGGTCTGACCAGAGCTTCATACAGCCTCAGAAGTACACCCCTGTTTTTATATTTTAGTCCTCTCGAAAAAAATGCCAACATTGTATTTGCCTTCCTAACTGCCAACTCAACCTGCATGTTTACCTTAAGAGAATCCTGGATGAGGACTCCCGAGTCCCTTTGCACTTCAGATTTCTGAATTTTCTCCCCATTTAGAAAATAGTCTGTGCCTCTATTCTTCTATCTCACACTTCCCCAAATTGTATTCCATCTGCCACTTCTTTGCCCACTCTCCTAACTTGTCTAAATCCTTCTGCAGCCTCCTAGACTCCTCCACACTACCTGTCCATCCAGCTATCTTTGTTCATCTGCAAACGTAGCTGGAATGCCTTCAGTTCCTTCATCTAGATCATTAATGTCCCGTAAAGCTTGGATACCGCTAGTGATTCAACAAGATAATAACAGACTCCATGTTGGCCAGATCTTTCAACACAGAGTGCACAGTCTCACCACTTGCATGTAATGGAATACAGGTGCCCATTTTAGAAAGAAGGGGTGAATTTTCAGGGGTGGGGGCACTACCAGGTGAAAGATTGACAAATTGCCAACAGTCACCGTCAGTGTCCCCTCTGAATCTGACATTCAGAGATACTGGACTGGTGAAGATTCCAGAAGGTGTAGCCCGTCACTCAGGATCCACTCTAACTGAAGAAGTGCTGGACCGTAATCCCATAAATAATTTTGAAGGGCTGTTGCCCAGTTACTAAAACTCCGCTTTGTCAGTCAGGGTTCTGACACAGTGTAAACTGTGGACCCTCCCAGAATCAGCAACCACTAAGATCAATGAGTATTTTAATACTCACATTTCCCATCACTGTAAGAAACCTGAAAAATGTTACACCAGTTCTGTCAAGTGTAACTGGGTTATTACTGTTGGTGACTATTTTATGAACAATTGCATGTGCCCTGAAACAGTAATGCTATTTTTGTCGAGAACTGTCAAGTGGTTAGTTCATGCATACTTTTTAAAAATAATTTTTTTAAGCTTCTTCCAGTATATTTTAGCTTCCACCTCACCCACGGTGTCTGCTCTCCCTAACATGCATCATGGACTTTGGCAGTTCGGGAAGGTGGCTTATCACCAACCTCTCAAGGGCAATTATGGACAGACAATAAATGCTGGCCTTGCCTGTGACACTTTTTAAAAATGCTTCATTGGTTAGGTAAGCACTTGTTGTCTATTCCCAATTGCCGTGGAGGAGGTGGTGGTGAGCTACCTTCTTGAACCACTGCAGTCTGTGATATAGGTACACCCACAATGCTGCTAGGAAGGGAATTTTGACCCTGGAACACTAAAGGAAGGCTGATATAGTTTCAAGTCAGTTTGATCAGTGGTTTGGAGGGGAATGTGTTAGTGGTGGTACTCACGTGCATTTGGTGCTCTTAATGATAGAGTTTGCAAGGTTGGAAATGGGCTTGATCAGCTGCTGCATTGCATCTTGTATATGGTGCACGCTGCTGCTACTGTGTGCCAGTGTTAGAGGGATTTGATGCTGAAGTTGGTGGATAAGATGCTATTTCAGTGAGCTCCTTTGTGCTGGATGATGTCAAAGCTTGTTGAATCCAAGCAAGTGGGGAGTATTCCATCAACACTCTTGACTTGAAAATTAGATGGTAAACAGACTTTGGAGAATCAAGAGATTTGCTTCTGCAGAATTCTGACTTTTTGAAGACACAGTTTAGATAGCTGGTTCGGTTCACATATGGTTAATGGTAACCTCGCTGATGTTGCTAAAGAGGATTCTGCAATGGTAATGTCACTACATGTCAAGGAGAGAGGGTTAAATTTTCTCTTGTTGGAGATGATCATTGACTTACTTGTGGCTTGTCAGCTCAGACCTGAATGTTGTCCCAAACTTGCTGCACTTGGTCTTGCATTATTTCAGTCTCTAAGTAGTTATGACTGTTTTAATAGCCTATTCCTCTAATAAATCAAAAGATCTGATATGTTTATTTAATAGCCTTATAATCTTTTCTTGAAAGTTTTTGAACATTATACCCACAAGTGTCTCTGTTTCTGCACTTCCTTTAAAATAGCTCAATCTCATTTTACAAAAGTGTCTGAAATGCCTAAAATGAAATAAAGAACCAAGTGCACACTTTGCATTTGAAAATTCATTTAAAATTCAAGGTTCAATAATGGTTTTAATTGTAATTACAATTACTATTATGCACAAAATAGCGACCCATGAAATTTTACAGAAGTTAAACAAAATATTCTATAAAATGTGTCCACATCTTATTAGGCTATACTTTTCTCATAGGACTACATTACGAAGGTGGATCCAGTTTCTTGTCTTGGATTGAACACGGATGCCATCTACAGCTATAGTGTTGATCATGTAAAACGTGTACTTGGAACAGATGCACCGGACGTGCTGCCCTATAGATATATGGGAAAAGATTCCACATTCTCTGTAACTTTGAAAGGTCAGTGAATGAAAGAAATAACACACAATTTCCAAACATTTAGCTCAGATTTCTCCCTTTTTTGTTATAAAATATGGTTGCTCTTAATTGATGATCAATTCAAAATTCTTGGTCATAATTTTGATTTTTGGGAGTCATAGAGAACATACGTTGTACTTTGAGAGTTGTGTTGGTGTGGATGTATAGATGTGTCTTTATTTGTGATGAGACTGGCACAATAATTCTATCCACATGAAACAGTTCCTAGATCATGTTTAATTAGACATGGCATAACCACACAACATTGATCTTCAATGAATCAATGAGACAGAAAACATATGGTTGGTTCTGCACGTTAGCATCTACCCAGTGTCCAAATAATCATGATTTTAAATATTTTAAAACATCTATTACATTTTTAAAGCTGTTATAAGCTATTTAAATATCTTCTATGTTTTTGTCATAGCTTTGAAAGTTTGCTGGAATCTATCTCCGGTACATTGATACCACTCAGGACCCCTTGTCTGTACACAGCATCCATCTCTGGCTCCATTTATCCTGATTCCCTGCTGTTCAAGCTTTTCCTCCCCCTCCCTTGGCTCCCAATTCCTCCTGCTTTCTAGTTCCATTAACCCAACCACCCTTCCATATTCCCTGGACTCATCCTTTTTAAGATGCAGCCTCTGATCTTTTTATACTGTGCCCTGGATATCCACCTTCCCTTCTCTTGCCTATCCCTCCCCTTGCAGCAAATGGCACAATTGGGATTGGGAGTGCTGCATAATAATTTAAATAAGATTAAATCTTTGACAGTACCAGGGGGCTTATTCCCTGTGCCCATGATGCAAGATATAGTGAAAACATGATGATTTAAAATTAGATAAACTCAAATAAAAAGCAAAGCGCTGGAGGAACTCAGCAGGTCTGACAGCACCCATGAAGAGAAAGAAAACCTAACATTACAAGTTTGATATGAGTCATCATCTGAACTCAACTCAGATTGAGTCTGAGTTGTTAGTATTTTCCGCTGACAAAATAACCTTTAATAAATTTAAATTCTGGACTGTGAATTCCAGATTGATCAGCTGAACTTCGGCCAATTGGAGCAGAGTTAAAACAAGTGACAGAGCAAAGTAATGGACAAGTCATATTCAATGTCTGATCTCTGTCTCTGTCTCCCCAGCTCCCTCTCTCTCTCTCTCTCTGTCTCTCCCTGTGAAACACTGCTGGTTACCTTGAAGAGGCCGATGACCTAGAGTCTGAATACGGACTGTTTATCCTCCTGTTTCCCTAGCTGAAACCACAAAGGCTCAAAGTTGCTCATGGATTGTGCGCTGCATAGGAAAACACTGAAAACATGTTCGATTGCATTGATGATGTGATGGGCTGTATCACAATCATCTGAAGACCATACAATAAACAGGAAGAGCTTTCTGAATTTTTTTTCCCAGAGATGACTGCTAACAATGTTGATGCTTTTTACTGTAAAAGTTCAGGCCATTTTAAGATCTAAATGAATTGAAAAATAAGGACATTATTCGCATGCTTGCTGTGCCACTGTACGTTCATTTTATTTGTGACATGAGATGCATTCATAAACTGAACCAGATTGCACAGAGGCTTCCTTGGCTTTTCCAAAGCTCAGCTTAACATGAATTTGTGGGCAGGCCCCCTGCAATTCAACTTAGCACAACTTTACTGTTAATGTGCACTTCCAATTGACCTGGTACTGCACAATGCAAGGAAAATCCCTTTTGTGATGGCAACAGATTTTTTTTTTTAATCAAAGCCATAAATTGAAAATTTTGTAACCAAATTGCATCAACCCTGTAATATTATTAAGAAAATCTGTAATAGGCAGTTGTAGAGACGAACATAGCTGCTACTTTTGATAGGAAGGTTATGATTTGGAAACACATAGATTTATTAATTAATGTACAATACACTGTGCTGCTAGTAGGTACATCATGATTTAGAATCTTACTTCTTTTTAAGCTTTCTTTGCACATTGCATAATATGTGAAAACAAGGAATTTTGTTTTGAGAATTAATCTAAACGGTTTTCTTTCAGGATTGAAAGAGAAAAGCGTGGACAGTTTGGTTTTTGAAACCCTAATTCCAAAACCAATGATGCAGCATTACATCAGTCTTCTCCTGAAACATCGAAGGCTTATTTTGTCAGGGCCCAGTGGGACCGGCAAGTCCTATCTTTCCATTCGCTTGGCTGAGTACTTGGTTCAGAGATCAGGCCGGGAGGTCACGGATGAAATCATTGTAACGTTTAATATGGATACGCATTCGTGCAAGGTAAGTTTTAGATGCCACTGCAAGCTGACAAATCTCCTTGGCATTGTTTCTCTTTCTCCTAGTTATTGCAAGAAATGGAGTGGCTTGAAATTTTAATTCAGTACTTCACAGACGTGCAGAATTATTTTCCTCCTCATATTCTGAATTGCTGCTTGTTTAAGCCTGTGACAAAACAAAGCTCCATTATTCCTCAAACAAGGAGATTTCTGTATTCTATTTTCCTTCTTGTTGGTGGCGTAGTTAACAAGATAATATGATTTAAAAATTGACTGAAGTCAGCTGTATTTTCAAAATACGTCTTTTGTCATTATATGAGGAAGCCAAATAAACACAAATGTGTAGTTGAAAAGAAGTAAGAATTCCAGAAGCTCGAATCCTGTTCTGCCAAAAAGACAGAGTGGGACTTCATGCTCACTGTCTGGTTGTGCCCTCACCCTAGTTCCAGGGTCAGGCTTTGTTCAATAAAATTGATATGTCCCCTTGGAAAATTCAACCGGCTGGTTGAGCATAGGACATTACAGCATCTGACAGTGGCTGGGCCACAATACCAGCTTTCCTTGGGTCAATCACTCATTTGCTGACTGGCTGCTTTTAGAAGGATGCCAACCTACCTCTTTTTCAAGATTTATTCCAAAGCGGGGAGCAACAGAAAAAAATTGACCACCCCAGGTAAGAATGGAATTTCCAGAAGATGGCAAATGTAATTTAAAATTAAGGCCATGTAAGGGCAGAATCCCGGTCATTCCCACTTAAAGCACACTATTCATCATAGGTCAGATAAGTTGAAAAGAATGCAAGTGGAAAAGTTTTTTTTATTTTAACGACCTTAGTTCTCTGCTTGCCGCAAACTCAGATTTTGTGTAAGCGTCTTGATAATAAATCAGTTTAGCTTGAGAATTGTGTTCTGACAGTGAAGTCAGAATGTGATCAGAATAGTCACTGGTGCATCATTGTGTGAAAAAGATAATTGTGAATATTGTGACATGGTTCTCAATTCATGTAATGGATTCTGTCCAAATCCTGTCACTCTATATTGGAGTCATGGAGCTGTCTATTGAACCTGCATTTTTAGTGTGTGGTGGAGTTAAGGGATTGGAAGACTGCCAAAATTGAAATAATGCTTGTTTACTTCATACTGCAGTTTGCAGATATAATAACCAAACTGAACTCAAACTTACAAACTTTGATTTAAGTGGAGAGCAGTCTGAGCTTCTTTTCTCTATATGACTTAAAATATGAGCTTCAAATTTTGCAAGGGTTTTATAGGTGTCGTGTTATGTCTCATAGTTAGTAAACCTTTCATGATGTTATGACTATTACAGCATGTGACCTGAAGGTATAAAAGTCTCAGATGGAATCTTATTTGGGATCACTTGAGGCAGGATGTAATTGAAAGCATGCTTTACTTTGGAACCGAGTAGCTTAACATGAGCCCAGACACTCTGCTTGTATATGTGTAACAATTGCATATATTAGTGAGCTGTAATGAATGTTATTTTCTTCAATGTGCCAACAGTGGTGCAGTTATCCAAGGCCAGTTTCTCATATTACAAGCAAGAATATGAGCATTGCCTCATCACATAAAAGAGACCCTGCTGAAGGCAAAACCCACATGAGTATGGTAGAAGTCAAGAAAATGCTAATGAGTGTACCAATATCTGGAGCTAGAGATCTAAACTATTCAGAGAATTTTGGAGAAACACCTTCACACAGTAGAATTTGAACTTTGATATCAAGTGGGATATTTGAGACCAAACATGCAGTACATAAAAACTCAAAGGATGAAGGACAATGCTGATGGGGTTGGACAAGAAAGGGAAAGAGGCTCATGTGAAACAAAAATGCAAGTCTGAGTGATGGGCTGAGTGGCCAGATTGCAATATAAAATCTATGTGGAATGGAGCAGAAAGCAGTGAGTTGAAGTTGTACTCCTGACTAATACTTAACTGTTTCTTTTTTTCAAATGGCTGACCAATATTTAAGGGGTATCAAATCAGTTTAAAAAAGGGAATCAAGGAGTTTGAAATGAACATAAACATTGGTGTACTCGAACTTTCAGTGTCATATTTCAAGACTGTCAAAACTTTAGTCCGAATGAATGTAACATAATTTTATAAACTAAATGAAACCTCATTGCAGCTTCATTCATTGATACTTTAATGATAAAAAATCTAATTATTATTTGTTTTTTAAAAAAATTATTTGCCTTACTTTTGTAGGATTTGCAGCTGTACCTTTCCAATCTTGCCAATCAAATTGACAGAGAAACCAGCACTGGGAATGTACCATTGGTGATAATCCTTGATGATCTGAGTGAGCCTGGTTCCCTAAGTGAACTTGTCAATGGAGCTCTCACATGCAAATATCACAAATGGTTTGTATTTTTGCGACTTACTAATGCATATTACAACTTTTTTACAGATAAAAATACATCAAATTGTTAAAAACTTATGGTAAAACCGAGGGTTTGTTGGGATATCAAGAGAGTCAAAGCTCCATAATAACAGGGTAGTTCAATGTTGAGCTAAAGTGATTTGCAGTGCTATTTCTAGGGTAACAGTACACAGTTTTTGCAGAACATGTAGGTTCTTTCATTACTTCCGCACCAAAAAAGTGGAAAACCTAAATAATGTGCGCAGACTACCATAATTTTACTATGGGATGCAATAACTACACTTTTTTTAAAAATTGCAACACTTTAAACTATGGAATCATTATTAACTATAGATGCACATAAACATAGAACTGTACAGCACAGAAACAGCCCTTTCGGCCCACAGTGCTGTGCCGATCACGACACCAAATAAAACAAATCCCTTCTGCCTGCTCTTGGTCCATATGCCTCCATTCTTTCCATATTCATGTGCTTATCAAAAAGTCTCTTAAATGGTTATACATAAAAGAAATAATTTAAAAATGCAAAAAGTCATTTTTATTTTAAATATATTTGCACTAAGTGCTCGGATTCTTTTTTGATCTTGTGAGACACAGTATTATTTACATTTCACAAATGAAAGTATAATTTTAATTGAATTGTTTAAGGTACTTAATGTTTCTGAAGTGAATATTAGAAACCCAGTTCTATCTGAAAACCGTTGACTATATTATAGTATAATTTTTATTATCAAATACTTTGTTCTTTGACATGTTAAAAAAATCTCATTTTATTTCAATTACTATTGATTTATTCAGATTCTTACAAAAAGAAAAATGGCTGCTGAAAGCTGCATTACGATCAGTGCCCCATTAAATGAATCATTCAGTGATAGATTTCTTTGATCTTCAAGTCCAAAGTTAAAAATGGTCTCTCATCATGGGTTTTCTTCTTTTTGCCATCACAATTTTGAAGTTGTAAGTTTAAAAAAAACCTCTCAGTAACATTCAAAGAGATAATGCAAAGAAATAGGGTAATTTTAATCTGATTGGAGGACAAGCAATTCTGTGATGTGATATTTTAGTCCTGTAACTGTGGCTGTAATGATATTTTCAACAATAGTCTGCATCAGTAGACAGAATTTAAGAGAAACTAAAAGAAGAAGCCTAAACTGAAATTTAGAATGTAGAATGTCAGAGCTAACTTTGCAGAATGTGAGACGGTGATTGACAATCTGAATACTTAGTTGAAGGACCATTGAGTTTGTCAGGATCCAGATCTTAACCTTCACTGAGATTGGTCTCCCATGCTGAAAATTCCCTCACCTCCAGCCTGCTGTCTGCCAAATAGCTGATCCATCCAGAGGAACCAGTTATATTTCGATATAAGAAGGGGCACACTGCCCCTCTCTAAAGTAATTCCTAGACGGTCCTTCAGTCAACCTCTTATGCTCACTCCTAGTTTGCCACTGCCTCAATTTTAAAGCTCTCGCATTTCTGTTTAAATCCCTCAATCTTGCACATCCTAATAATGAGTTCCATCATTCTGGTATCTCTCCAATACTGGTTGCTTGTGCATCTCTCACTTCCCTGTCATTCATAGCCGCGCCTTTTGGCCTTCGTCTGTAAACTCTAGAGTTCTCTCCCTAAAGCTCTCCAACTTCAAATTTCTCTCCACCTTAAACATTCCTTAAAATCTATTATTATCAATCGCCTGTCTGAGTAACTGTTTCAGTATCAATTTTTTACCTGGTGTACAATCATGCAAAGTTCATTAGAAAGTTATCCTACAGTGAAAGTGCTGTGTCAGTGAGTTGCAAAGCAGTCTGTTCTAAAATAAGAACTAAGCTCATCTCCTATCGGCATCTCCATAAGATAAACGCATTCTCCCTCTCTTCTCCCACTGCAACCCCTTAAAAAAAAGACCATACTTTAAACCTTTAGTGCTACCTGGTCTCTTACTCTTACTGAGCAGATTATAGAGTTGAGTATGATCAGAAATAGCACTTATTGATATTAAGTGCACTTTTCAGTTTGGATGAGACAGTTATATCTTTCAATGAAAAGCTAAATCTGACATTAAAGCTACATTTCTTTGCAACAATATACATGTCCCTGATGTCTTCACAGCTAGAGGTGTATAGCATTTTTCTAGTTTCCAGGAAAAAGGATAAAAGTATATTGATTATATTGGCATTATTTACTGTTTAGAAACATTTAAGCACAACACAGTTTAGACTTAAAAACAACATTGTATTGTAGGTCTCTAACACTGATGTTAAATAGGGATTCGCACGCCAGCAAGTTACCAACCAAACAATATTCAGTTCCTACATCTTACAGACGTTATCTCTCTCTCTACAAATAATGTTACATTCGTAACACGAGTACTGTCGATAAGTGGAATATTGCATGTTGTAGTTTAGAACGGTAATTATTAATGAGCTTTGATGTATCAAAAGCGTACAGCTACTAAATACAAACTTCTCAATCATGGCCTTCATTAGCAATGCCCCTCCTTCGACCATGACCCACCCCCTGTCCTCCCTGTGATCCCAATCTCTGCCTTCACTCAACTGTGCCTGGGTCCCACAGTCACTCTGGCCATCTCCCCTGAGTTCTTTACTGGCAGCAGTCAATGATTGACTAGCGCCTTGTGTTCGGCCAGATTTCCAGCTCCAGGCTCCAAAATCCTGGGGCAGGCCCAACGTTGGCTTTCCCCAACGGGCGATGTGACATCCTTGCCAGAATTAAATTCCACACACATTCCTGCCTTCATTTTTAACTGGAAGATCAACACATCCAACATCATCAGAGAGTAAATTGAATCCTTAATCCCATCAGTTTTGTTACTGAGGAAAGATGAACTTGCTAATTGAAGATTTTTGGAAGTGGATTTGACTTTACATTTTTAATTTCAATGAAGAAACTCTGCTTGACAAATTGTACCCTCATGACCCATCTGAAGATTAAAACTAGTTTTTGAACCAACAGCATGTTTTGTACATTGCTAACCAGAGGGCGTATTTTTAAGGTGAGAGGAGAAAGATTTAAAAAGGACCTGAGGGGTAACTTTTTAACATAGAGGATGGTTCATGTGTGGAATAAACTGTCATAGGAAGTGATAGATGTAGGTATAGTTACAACATTTAAAAGCCATTTGAACAGGTACATGAATAAGAAAGGTTTAGAGGGACATGGGCAAAATGCAGGCAAGTGGGATTCGTTTAGTTTGGGAAACTTGGTCGGCATAGACGAATTGGACCGAAGGGTCTGTTTCTGTGCTGTATGACTCTGACTCTAAACTCTCACCACCAACTTGTAATAAGTGCCAATTACTTCAGTGGCCTGAGTTTCAATGTGTTGTTATCCTAAGATCAGAAATATCTTCTCTTCAGTTTCCAGATGATGTTGCTCAGAAATTATAATTTTTAAAACATTTTAAAATTAGAATCCATCTGGCATTAATTATTAAAACATTTAGTGGGTAATACTCCATAAGTACCAGTGAGCAAGTTTTCCTCCAAGGCCAGCACAATTCAGAAAATGAATCTCTTATTGCTAATACAAAGGCCTTTATGTATATTATAAGCCACACTTCCTAATTCAGTTATGGACATGATTTGATATTGATCACTTTGTCAAGCAGGATGCAGAGAATATATGGCGCAAATCCAGCAATCTCCAGACTGTAGAAGACCAGTTACACAATCTAACATGCGTATCAAGACCTGACAGAATTTGACAAGCAATTAATCCTGGCTTAGCTAGCAATGCACTCATCTCATAAACAAGTTTATTTTTAAAAGACCCACACTATGATTCCATCAAAATTGTGCAGGACACTTGAACTTCCAATGGGACATTCCCAAGTTGTCCAGGACCCTCTGAAAAGTCCCTGACTCTGAGTTAGAGTTGAGAACTTTGGACAGTTGTGATTTACTTAGCTGGGCAGTTTTCTGAGAAAAGTTGGGCAGAAAATATCCCCATCTAAATCCTCGATTGTTCAACAGCTGACACTTGCCCCAGAACCCCTTCTACTACCCCGCCTATCCGAACGCAACCTGACTATACCCCACCTGACTTGTTCACCCCTCAACCTGATCTAACCTTATCATTCTATCCAACTGTTCCTCTTACCCAGTCACCTCACTTAACTCACCCAATCATTCAGTAATACTTGAGAAGCATCGGGACATTTAAACTTGTGTCTACCAGAGTATAACGGGCAATGTTGTAAAAAGTGAATGAGACTTCTACACAGGTTGCCTTTGCTCCTTCTGAGATTTCTATACTGAGGGAATTCTTTGAGTTCCTTCATCAGAGGATTAGACAGAAATATTGAAGGAAGGTAAGCAGGTAGCATGGTCAGCTTCAGATTTGGGAGCCTGATCACGGAGTAGAAGATTCCAGGCAATGTGAACAATTGTTTCACATTTCTTACTCTGATTTTTCTGAGCATCACCAGTCTTTTTCGTTGGAGCTGTTCCAATTGTTCAATGGTTATTCAAAAATTGCATGCCATTTGCAACTCCAGAACATTGACTTCAAAAGTTAATTGCAGTCCTGAACTTGATAACTGTCTGACATCGCAGTTTAAACATTGTATTTTCTTTTTTTTCTTACAATATAGCCCATATGTAATTGGAACCACTAACCAGCCTGTCAAAACAACACCAAACCATGGCCTTCATCTCAGTTTCAGGTAAAATGCAGATCTGTACGTGTAGAAACTAGTATTCATATAACCATACCTTTTTTCATAGATGGGTTGGACTTCTCATAAAAGAAACAAAGCCAGAATAAATCTTAGACTAATTTAAACCCAATCTTTCATTAACTGAATGTTTGAAATCAAAATAACCATGCTCACCTGTTAATAATTGAAAGGAAAATGACAGGTTAATATTTTGGTCTCAAATTGCTGTGATGCCTTACAATGAAGATTTGTAATAATAACTAATGAATTACAAATTAGAACTATTTCCTGTTTTATTTTTCTGATCTTTATATCCCATGATAGTTTTTCTGTGTCCTACAGCATAATTTAATTTTTAATGAATGGGTTTCAATGTGTAGAAACAATGGAGAAATTCAGCATCCATGAAGAGAATACTTGAGTTAATCTTTTAGTCCGGTGTCCCTTCTTCAGAACTGACAGCTGCTAGGGAATATTGGTATTCATGCCGACGATGGGGGTGGGGACGGAAAAGGAATGAGCAGATAGGTGGAAAGAGAGAGCCCAGAGAGAGGGAAAGAAGGAGGGACCTGTGCAGAAAAGACGATTCAGACAGAGGGATTGTTGCTAATGAGCAACGGAGAGGCACAATGAGTAGGTGAAAATAGGTTGAGTTTCTTGTCAATGTTAAACCCAAAGATCTTGATAGTGAGGGATTCAGTGATGGTAACGCCATTGATTTTCAAGGGATGGTGGTTAGATTGTCTGTCTGTTATTGGAGATTATCATTGCCTGGCTTTATGCGACAGAGATGTTACTTGCCATTTGCTAGCCCAAGCCTGGATATTGTCCAGATCTTATTGCATTTGAACATGGATGGCTTCAGTATCTGAGGAGTTGTAAATGCTGCTGAACATGGTGCAATTGTTCGTATGAGAAGTTGACAGAAAAGGGTCAGTTTTATTCGGGAGCTCACTATACTGTTGGTGTAACAGCATGCTGCTGCAGTATTCTTGGCTGGTAGACCTGATTGCTGCTTGCGGTGTGTCTGAGCTGGCTATGCAAACAACCTCATCCCTTGTGGTTTAGTGCAGATTTCTGCCTTGGACTAGTTGGGAGTTCAGTTCTGCTGTGTTTGCACCAGCAATTCCCAAGGAATTTAGGGCTGTAATGCTTTGGAAGTCATGTCAAAACCTTCTTAACTTGTATATATTTTGACTTGTAGCAGAGGTAATATTCAGAGATTTTTTAAACTTAAAATTAAATTCTGTGAAGAATTGTTTCATGAAAGTTAAAGAAAAAGCAAACTGGACAATTAACAGATTGAAATCCCAACATTTTCTTTACAATATGAGACATTTGGGCTCCATTGAACTAATTACATGTTGTTTAGCTGAACAACAATAATTGTAGAAAATCAGTTGATGAATTGTATTTGCTGCGTAGGGAGTATTTCTCTGTCTTTTATGAGTATAAATAATTGTGGTATTATTCTCATGAGTTTGTACTTTCTTTATCTGCAAATAGAAAATACTAAGTAACACCACCTAATTTTGATCTCTAGGCTGGTGCCATTTTCAAACAATGCAGAGCCTGCCAACGGATTCCTAAGTCGCTATTTACAACGGAAACTGATTGAATCAGAGAATGTTGCAAACGCAAACAATAATGAAATCCTCAATATTCTTAACTGGGTGCCCAAGTTATGGTACCATCTCCACACATTTCTGGAAATGTACAGTACATCTGACTTCCTTATTGGTAAGTGCTAATGCTTTGTTAATAACAATCACTTGATGTCCATCAATAGCTGATTATTTAATTTATTGTCGGTTAATTTGCTGGAAAGGCATCTAAATCTTAATATTTTAAAACTCGTGTATTAGTCACAGTTCTTTTCATCAGTGTCTTACTTTGAACACTTGTTGTTGTGAAATCTAGAAGTTCTTGAAGTAATAAACAACACTGACATTTTCGCTGTTTGCAAATGTCATGGGCAAAAGCTTTAGTTAGTGTGGGGTCTCTACAATCAGCTGCAAAGCCAGTGAGAGTCTCATATTACATCTTTTGAGGAGGGTACATCTGATCTTCTGCCAATTGGCCATTTCCAAGAAAGTTGGGAGCCTTTGTCCACAATCAAGTCCCTGTGGGTGAAAATCCCTCAGGACAGAAGCTGACTCGCAGTTCCTGCACTCAGCAGCCCCTGGTAGGAGGCAATAGCTATTGACCAGGAAAAGAACCCATTGTTGATTTGTGGAGAGGTGAGTTGCTGTGGAGAGGTCTAGGATTGAGAGTTGAGGGATGCAATGGAGTTGACCGCAAGTGCAGTGGTGGTGGCCCTCAGAAACATCCCTTTACCCTCCATAACACACTGAGCGCCTTTATGATCACAAGCTCCTCAAACCTTCTCAGTTGATGTGCAGCTTGCACTATTTTTGACCCTGGGAAGGCTGTTAGTCTCCTATTATTTGGATTCATAATGTTGATTTTAGGAGTTTGCTAATAAAGTAGGTTTGCATATTTAAGTAAGTCTTGAGGGGAGAGAAGGAATACCAGTAGGCCACTCTTAAGCCTCCTCCAGTGTTTAATCAGAGTTGACCTATGTCTTGATGCAGTTGATTTGCCTTTGCACCACGTCCTTCAAAAATGCTTACATGATCAAGGTTTGTCAATCCCAGTCATTGAAATTTCAGCTGATCAACATTAAAGCACTGACACTTGTATGGGAAGGAAGAATACTTGGACCTGATTCTTGCTTTTATGCCTCTTTGTGAAGTGGAATTTGGTGACAAAACTGACATCTATTGGCTGTTCCTAGTTGTCAGTGTCTGGTGAGTTCTCTGAGAATGCTAGAGTCCATTTGGTGAAGGTGCCCCCCGCCCCTCCCAACAAATTTTGTAGTTAGAAAGAGTCCCAGGCAACAAGGGAACAGGGGTATGTATATCTGAGTTAGGTTCTCATGTGAGTTGGATGGGAGGAGCAAAGATATGGAGATGTTCTCGTTCACCTGTTTCTCTTGTCCTTTGGTCAGCTATTCCTGTTGCAAGGCCTTGCAATAATTCTAAGAATGTGAATCCTTGTTCTGGACCCGGAAACCAGCAATTTTCCTATTAAGCAAAGGATGGGAAGTGGATTTTCTTTATACACAAGGGAAATCTTTCAAAGTAATTTAGAGTTGGGAAATAGTTGGATCTCTGCTCTTGGTCCTTCTCTTCCTTTCCAATCAATTATTTTCTGTAATTGCATTAGGTTATTGATAACATCAGTGCTTTGCCAGATTCAAACCCAGCTCAGTTAAGTCTGGCACACAAATCTAAATTGAAAATACTGCCTCCCATTGCAGCTATTGGCTGAGCATTTCTCTTATCTTCCAATAGCTGCCACAGCATGTTGAGTGAAAATACCAAAATACACTGTACCATTTTAAAAATCCTTTGTGGTCAGGGTTTATTGCAATGAATTATTACTATGCCTTTCTTCATACTGTGATTTCTGGTCCACATACTCAGTGTAATTGACAGTGCTGTGTGGACTTGCAAATGCTGGCAGCAGGTCAGTCATCATTTGTCTACTTCTTCAAATATTTGAATGTATTCACTTACTTTCATCTTATTAACTTCTAAAAAAATAGTCTGGAACATGTTTTGGCCATTATGGGATATGGATATGACTTTTTTTTTATCTACTCCCTTGCAGGTCCTTGTTTTTTCCTGTCCTCTCCCGTCAATGTGGCTGAGTTCAGGGAATGGTTCATTGACCTATGGAATTATTCCATTCTCCCCTATCTTCAGGAAGGAGTTAATGATGGCATCAAGGTGATTATATGTATTTGATTAAATATCTACATTAATTGAGATTAGTTGGCTGGTTTGTGATGCAGACTCACAGCGCAAGTTCAAATTCCATGTTGGCCAAGGTTTTCATGATGGTCCTACCTTTTCAACCTTGCCCTCACCTGAGGCATGGTGGCCATCTCACTCTTTTGCAAGCAACCCTATGGTCCTCTGGAACTGTGATTGACTTTCCTATCTTCTGGTCTGACAGGCAGGACTCTAGCTATAAAAATGTTCAGTGTTGCATCCTATCATCTAGTGACCTGTCTGGGAGGGCGGGCGGGTGTGGGGGTTGCGGGGGCGGGGGCGCGGTGTTAAAAGAAAGTGAAATTCACACGTCGAACACTGATGTTCAAATGTTAATTAAGATTCCGATTACGACCTAGGCTAATTCAGTGTGAGCCCCACTTCCAAATGCAGGAGCTGCCTGAGATTTATGTGGCGGTGGTGATTCCCAGATCCCAGATGAAAAGTATCTTGTTGTGCGGAAAAGCGAGGCTTTTGAAAATTTAATTAATTATGACGAACTTTGTCCGTTAATGTGTTCAGATCGCTAGTGTCAACGAAAAAACAGAAAATCAAATTTCATCAAAATCTACTTTGATTTAGTATAACTTAAAATTGAATTCTTCAGTGTTTGGATGCAGTGGGCTGACATTTTTGTCTGCTAGATTTTCAAAGCTGTTCCTAATTTAAAAAGCAATTTCCCATGTTGTAAACTAATTCCTTTCATCTGTTCCTCTTTGTGTCAGAACCATGACTTACAGTCAGTGTTTAAAAAAACTCTTGTTGTTCCCTTTCTTTGAGATCCCAAGATAATAAAATCTGAGAACATCCTTCTACTGGATATTATATGTCCCCACGAGGTGTGCTTTTGACATGGGATCCATAAAATACTTCAAATGATGAGCCCACCACCACTTCATCCGCTCAACCCCCTGAGCACATCCTAATAACAGAGTGAGAAGGTGCTAAAATCAACAGCTCAGCCACTATGTGTAAATGAATGATTCAAGTTCAATTGAGCTTTTAAGCTAGTACTCACCTTCCTTCCTATTCACATACATACTCCCCAAAGTGGGCAAGTGCTCAAAACTCCTGGTTTCCCTCCTTTCACGATGGGATTCACTGAACCTCCTAATAGCCCGTAGACTCACCACAAATGACTTTCCTCCTTAGATGGGAGAAAGGTAAGCAGTTGTTCCCTGCTTTTCTCTCTTGCAGCCCAATTGCACTTCTCTACCCATCTTTTCTAAGTATCAGTCTGATTCTTGACATTTACTGCACATTATTCACAAACTTAGGATAAGCAATCAAAACTGCATGCAATGTAAACATTCCAGTGTGTCACACAAAGTCTCTCTTTCACTTCTCTACGTGGCTACTTCAACACATTAAACCCAATCTCGAGGAAGCTATCCAGAGAAATCAAGCTAACAACTTTTGTATTGAGAACTAGAGCATACAAATACTTGGGTCAACAAGATATAGTGTGAAGTTAAAATTTCTTCAAGTTTACAACTATCCAAAGTTTGAAGAGAAGGAACATATACAATCAGCAGGAAACATTTAAATAAACCTTTGAGAGAAAAAATGTCTCAATATCATATATCCATTTACATTGAAATTCATAATTAGCTTTAGAAATTCATTTTTAGTATCTCTGATACAAAGTATTTTTGTACTAGATAAAAAAATGAACTGGGTGGCCTTTTTGATTGCCTGTAATCTTTCTGATTTTGTCTTAGACATATGGACGAAAAGCAGTGTGGGAGGATCCCGCGAAGTGGGTGCAGGATACTCTACCTTGGTCAACTGCTTCACAAGATCGCTCCAAGATCTTCCATTTGCCTCCACCAAGTACAGGATCACAAGTTCCAGGTCCTCCACCAGAAAAAAGAAAGATCAAAGAGACAGCACCGACTTCACTTGAATCAGACCCACTTGTAAGTGTTGCAGCAGTACCTCATCACTCAGTGACTATGAAATGTTTAGCTTCACTAGCGACAAAGTAAAAGTAGGCTTGAACCTCAAATGTTGAAATAACAGCGTATCTGTGTCTTTTTTTTTGTGAAATTAACAAAAATTATAATTGCCCTGTTTGAGGGGAAATCTCTCGATCTTTTAATTGTGGAATATCATCTTAAAGATCCAGAATAGTTCTGAAAAAGAGTCACTAGATCCGAAACGTTAATTCTGCTTTCTCTCCACAGATGCTACCAGACCTGCTGAGTTTTCCCAGCATTTTCCATTTTTGTTGCTTATGTTAAGCTAGTTTGAAGTCCACTTGGACTGTAACTTCATTCACCATGTTAACACTATCTTCAGATAAGGTGCTTTGCAAAATCTTTGTTACATTGCATTTCTTTCCATTGTGCTAAGGTGAACATGTCACCTGTATATTTTTTGCCTAAAAAACGTCCTTATTCATTCATTTATCTAGTGTACAAGTTAAACCCTGATTTTTTACCCAAAAAAGTTCAGTCATACTCTAGTTACCACCATTTGTCACCAAAGTTAAACACGGACTGATGAGAGCCTCTGCATTTGAAGGCAGCAGTTCAGTTTCTTGTGAATGTGCCAAATAATAAAATTATAACGTGGCTCCCTTTGTGGTAATAGTTGGTGGCGATGTTGGCAGGAAGAGTCTCCAACCTAGCAACTCTGTGATCAACAGAAAGGTGGTGAGACAAAGGAGAAGTGAATTTCAGCCTCTCAAAATTATAACTCATGCATTAGTCTCACTTTTACTTTTCATCTAAAAATTTGGTCACAGAGGTACAATTCTCACGCAAGTATAAGTGGTAAAATGTTTGAGAACATTTGTGTTCTTTTGGTTGTGTGTTTATCAATATTTGCTATGATGATCTCTTACCAACATTCACTCTTCAAGATTTGACAAAGAATGGATGCTTCATCTAAGTATTGGTCAACTGAGAGTGACAAGTCAGCACAAGGATGCAGAGTGAGGGAAGAGAAAAATATTAACTGTACTTTAGAGAAGAAAGAAGAAATACATGTGACAAATGCAACAAAAGAGGCTATTGTGTTGAAGAACTAGAAAATATTGCAGTTTGCTTGATTGAGTTAGGATCCAGTGACTCATTCAATCACCCCAGCAAGTCTACTCCATCTTTGAATAATGCAAATTTTGTTTTAGTATTTGCAATCTCTGTTTTTCTGTACTTCATTTACATAGTCTTCCACCTCCAGAGCAGCGGTCCTGCATAATGTGTCCCTGAACTCAAGTATAGTTATGTCTAACAAATGTCATAACTTATTAGCTACTACTTAAAAATATAATGATCTTTAGTCTCTGAATGCACACACAGAATTTAAGAGAAAACTAAAACCCTCTTTACTGCAGACTAAATATGTGGAAGTATTCCACTCACTTTGGTTTGAAACTTTTGATGTAAAGGACAAGTGGATCATTCATTCAGAGGAATTATGTGTCCTCCAACTTCACAGTCTGATAGTTATACTTCAGTTACTGCAATATTGAGCTGAAAATTGGATCTACCCCCTTTATCCAGACTCAGCAGCTATTGACATTTCAGCGAAAGTCCACATGACTTGAACTCCATGTAGAACCAATGCTTACATAACGTAAGTATCCTTAAATATCCCATTCCACAATATTTGGCAGACTAATTTCATTTTTTCAGATAAATTAAAATGAATTTCAACTTTCTATAACATTTGCATTGAACATTGATGAAGAGCCCATACCTTTATGGTTGTAGAAGCCAGCAGCATTAACTTGGAATTAATCGTATGTTGTTCGTGAAAGCTGAAAACACTTTTAGTTACCAAATCGATTGAAAAAAAAGTCTCTATCTTTCTTCATTTAATGTATATTGTTACAGAGGGGGAATAGCTAAACCCCTCTGATAATTAAACCAAAACACAAGCCCCAAGCTGCTATGAAGGGAGTGAAGGTTCCCTTCTAATAATTAGCCCTGAAACTCCCAGAGAAGCTCACCTTTCCCCTCATAATCTGTTAAAAGAGTGGTTAAAAGAAAGAAAATCCCTGAAACAATTTATTTATTTAATCCTAACAATGAACACATTAACAGAATTACTAACAAACCAAACAATTCCCCCTTAGACTACTAACTACTCCAAAACTGAACTAAATTCTTCTGGAATGTTGTTCAAACAAACACCAGTGCCACTTATATAAACCCAATTAATAAGACAACAATAAATTAAAACTTAATCTCTCCAAGTTCAAGCAGACTGTCTTCTGGAACACTCTAGTTTTTCAAGCCTTTCTTCTATCGATCTCACAACACAAATGTCTTTCTGCTGCTGATTCTGCTGTCAGGGATATTTTCTCTGTAATTGCTTCTGTGAGGTTGTCTACTTAGAAATGCCATGGCACTGTTTTAATTAGATGGTGCTTTCTCTGAGAGCAATACAAGGTGTCATCTCTTGGCAGTTGGCATTCAGCTCGCTCCCAATTTTCAAAAGCTCTCACCTTATATACCCCTTATATGGCACATAATTTCTTATAATAATATATAGTATGTAATATTTTACATTATATTAAATTTTATACATGATATACTTAATATATATTATAATAAAAATCAAATATAGCATCAACTGATCATAATGCACAGAGTAGGAAATTCTAATCTAATCGTGTTGCAGAAAGGAAACTTAAACCTGAGTTAGAAATGTGGATATTTACTTTACTTGAAATATAATTTAATTTAATTTAGCAGGAGGAAAGGTACTAGCATCATATAGGATTCCTAAGGGGTTTGACAGGTTAAATGCTGAGGGGATGGTTCCCTTCTTGGGACAGTCTAGGACCAGATGCCATAGTCTCGGAATAAAGGAGTTCAAATTTAAGACTAAATGAGGAGGAATTTCTTCTGTGAGGGTTTGAGAGTCTTTGGAACTCCTTATCACAGAGGGCTGAGGGGGCAAAGTATTTGCCTATATCTAAGGCTTAGATAGATTCTTGATCATCGGGGAATCAAGGGTTACAGGGAAAGTGCAGGAAAGTGAACATGAGAAATGTCGATCAGCCATGATCCTATTGAATGACGGAGCAGGCTCAAAGGGCCAAATGGCCTACCTCGTTCCTATTTCTTACGGTCTTATAGAATAATATATAGAACAACATTTTTTTAACATATGTAATTTAATATATTTCTGTATTACTGGTAAATATGAGTTGTCATGGACATTAAACGTGGTTTCATATACCAAATATTGATACCAGAAATTGGTTATTTATCAGGTGATGCAGGAGATTGCTGTAGATTTGTCTATAATATTAATTTCACATAAGAATTTCACTTCTTTAATAAATTAATCTCATGATAGTGTTGAAAGTTTATATATAATCTCAAAACCATTTTCTTCTTCTGTCTGAACTTTTAAGTTGCCTGATTAGTGGGTGCTGGTCGCCAAATTGCAAGGTTTAAGTTCTCTAAGGGAGCATCCTGACTCTGATTAATTGTACTACCTGATGATATGAAGCTGATGTTACTCAGTGAGTGATTGCTTTGTTCACAATTATATGGTTGACTTCCATGGACAGCTGGTTGGACAGCTGTGTATCTCTAAGGTACTGCAGGGTTTAAACAGTGTCACTCCTAGTAACAGTTTTTAAAAACAACTTTGTGGACTTTAAGTTCAAACGGCAATATCAAAGCCCTCGATAATTTGAAGTGTATCAGTAAAAGTTCCTCATCTGCATGTAACAGGACCTCCAGCAGCAGGTGGCGATGGTGATGGAGAGCTCTGAGCAGAGGAGATCGAGCAATTGTGCTGAGACCTCCAACACCAGGCAGTGATGGCAAATGGAGCAGTCAAACAGACCTTATCTGGAAACAAGTGTCTTTGGGAGATGGATTGCTCCTTGCAAGAAGGAGCAAACAGTCAAAGAATTTCTCAAACCGGAGTAAACCACAGGCTTCATTCCATGTAAATGCCCCTTTGTTTAGCCTTAATTTCCCTTTTTGTGTTTCTAATGATCTGATGCTGGTGGAATCGAGAATCCCTGCTTCATAGTCTTTGTGCCATCCATGCATTTAAATCTCATGTTACATTTCTGGTGTAGTCAGCAGGTTTCCAAAGAACAGGTGTCAAGTCATTGTGGATGAGGTTGAAGGAGCATGGCCAAGATGCAGCAGATGTTAGCGGAGTTGCAAATGACACCGTCTGTGGCAGAGGAAACCGTACCTGTTGGCCAAACCCAGGCAGAGGCTCTCCATGTGCATTCCCTTGATGCTCCAGGGGAAGGATGCAGTATTTCTGGTCATATAGTCAACTTACTGATGAGTAGGAAGCTGGACAGATCTGGGGGAAGAACAGAAAACACCGAATGATCCAGCAGTGATGTTCAATTGCAGACAAATCTCATGGCGGCATCCAGGGGCCTCCACAAGAGTGAGCAGGCAGCATTCGTGATGGATCATCTGTGTGGCAAAGAATATGGAAGGTGTACAAAAAACAAAAAACAATACAGCACAGGTACAGGCCCTTTAACCCTCCAAACCTGCACCGCCACATTTTGCCCTTCCATACTGTATAGAGGGTCTGTATGCATCTATTCCCTTCCCCTTCATGTATTCATGCAGGTGCTTCTTGAATGCTGCTGTTATGTTAGCTTCCACCACCTCCTCTGGCAATATGTTCGAGGCACTCACCACCCTCTGTGTGAAAAACTTGCCTTCCGTATCTCTTTTAAAATCCCCCCTTCACACCTTGAACTATGTCCCCTAGAAATTGACGCCTCCACTCTATCCATGCCATTCACAATCTCATAAGCTTCTATGAGGTTGCCCCTCAACTTCCTGATGTTCAAAGAAATCTGTAGCGGATACTTTGAGGAACTGACAGGATTTTGGGCGATAGCAGAAGTCTGGTCCACCTACAGCAGAGGTTTCAAATGTACAGGCCAGCTGAAGGGGAGGACCTGGTTTCCATATCCCTGGAGCTGGAGAAGTTGTCTGATCACCCTGGATCCCTCTAGGACAGGCAGATGAAGCACAGAGGGACAGGAATGTCCAGATGAAGTTGAGGAGGCTTAATGGTGTCAGACATCAAAGAAAATTTTCTTTGAAGCCGAGGGTCAAGTCATCCAGAAATATTGAACTCCCAGGACCAGGAAAGAGGCTACCATCAGGGAGGTGATGTCAGCATGGATGGGAATGTAGACCTCTGTCTGAAGAGGCAGTCAGAACAAATGATTGTGAAGCAAGAGCAGATCCAGTCCCTGCTGTCCTTTTTTACCTGCCCACCCCATCACTGTTCTTGAAGGCTTAAAGTGGCCACCTCCGTGTTGACATCAGGCCTTGCTGAAGTGTAAAGTGTCACATGTAGCAGAGCTTGTACTTGTTGCAACTCTGGGAGCTGCTCTCGTCACTGTGGGAGGCAAGTGTCTTCTAGTGATACAGATTACCAATTACATTAATGACGATGTTTATATCCAATGAACGACGTCGGTCCTTAAACCTGCCGTTGTCACGGACAGTGGACCAACTGGAAGGAAAACCTCCAATCTCATTTCAAAGATAAACTTTGGTGAGTTGAAGGAGACCTAGATGAGAGGCAGCATGTTTCTGCTCCCACCAAATATGGCATGACTTTCAGCAAAAACAATGATGACATTGGATAGCATAGCCTACTAAGCCACAGGATAATGACCACAGATCCAGTAAATATTCCTTACCACACAGGTCTCAACAATAACTGGAGTATGAAACTGTTATGAAAACTGCAACAGGCAAACCAATCAAGCACCAACAGAGATCGGGAAGTACACCTTCAGGACAAAGATCCTGCAGGAGCTTTTAAGGTTGATGTCATTGACAAGAGCCACATTGCCTCCATCATCTAAAAGATAAAGGATAGTGCAAATGAGTTAACCGTATCCTACACATTGCCTATTGAGCGTGAACAAAAGTGGACTGAGTACTTCCTGCGATAGTAGGAACTGCAGATGCTGGAGAATCCGAGACAACAAGGTGCAGGGCTGGATGAACACAGCAGGCCAAGCAGCAACTGCTCCTATGATGCTGCTTGGCCTGCTGTGTTCATCCAGCCCTGCGCCTTGTTGTCTGAGTACTTCCTGCAGCTGGTTCATGCCAATGAAGAAGATGATTTTTAAAGCTGTTTTTTTGGGATGATCAATCACTTGATCTGCAAAATAGAACTACACATGTTGTTTGAATAGTTTTGTTTCAGTAAAGCTGTCATTGAATACCTAGGTAATAGTAAGATGTATGCTATGTTCTGATTTATATATTGGACTGCACAACCTTAAGCTAATCTTGTACCAATGTAAAGCAAACACTCCTTTCCTAAGAACACAAACTTTGTAGCTGCTATTTTGATAAATTGTGACTTATTTACCAGTTATCAAGAACAGAATGTTCTCACCTCCAGCTTCTAGCTTATAATGCACTGATTTTGTGCTCCAGTTCAAAAATGCTTGTCAGCCTTTTTTAGTTTTTTTAAAATTAAGACAAGCTTAGAAATGTATTTTACTTTGGAAGAACTTGCATTTTAATCAAAAGAAATGTAGTAATTCTATTTTCTTTGTGGTCAATACCCTATCTACAGATATGTACAGCTGTCGGTTTCCACCTAAACTGATGCCGTTCAAGGGTGAGGAATGCTCCCTTTGTCAGAATTCTGTTGTCTGCTTGACATCAATTAGCTTTCCAAATTTCTACCACCAAGATATTAATGTCATTTTATAGATGACTACTGCTGCTTCCTCCAACTTGGTGCTTATGCTATTCCTCAAGACATAAACTGTTTGGGATAATCATGATACTTAAGGTTCCAACAAAGGCTTGTTAAGACTGTTATATACAAACATTACCTTCCCAGGCACATAAGTGTCTGAGCTGACATTCCGCTACTCAGTTACAGCAGAGGAATGTGCTTAATTTCATGCTTCAAGTGATCTTAGGGAAGATAGAGTACAAGATCTTTATACACATGCTGTGATGCAGTGATGATATCATGGTCATGTCTCTTAAAGGCATATGGGCATACTGACTGTCAGATGTAACACAACATTGCTCCTATCAGAAGACCACCTGTATCCTCCAATTTGTCACTGTTTTTTTCTCTGTGGTACCTGGATGAGCAACAGTGAGACCAAACATTTGAAGCAAATAACTCACTCACTCTAAACTGGCAATTGAAATGTTACTCAGTCTGCCATATGATTCACTTAGCTACAACTAAATGAAATAGTTGTGCAACTTTAAACCAACAAGATGTTTATGGCAAATGTGATAAACAATTAACAGAGACTGGGGCCTCATGGAGGTTGTTCCTTTGAATAGCTTCTGATCTGAGGTCTTTTCTGTGAAAAAAATGTTTTGTATGAGCTTGGATATTAACAATTTACAATGTCATTTCTAACAATGCAAAATATCTGGCACACACATACAGTGGGCTGAATGCCCTCCTCTTGCACTATGACAGTTCTGTGATTCTGCAAAATACACAAGCTAGTACTGCCAAATTATTTAAAACCGAAAGAACTGTGAACGCTGGAAATCAGAAACAAAAACAAATTGCTGGAAAAGCTCAGCAGGTCTGGCAGTGTCTGTGGAGAGAAATCAGTTAACGTTTCGGGTCCAGCGACCCTTCCTCAGAATGGAGGAAGTCAAGGACTTTGTAGTTCAATCCTAAATATTTTTTTCCATTACTCATTTGCAGATGACTATGCTACTGAGGCTCCAGGAAGCAGCCAATTATACCCAAAGTTGTGAAGGCGAAAACATCATGGAATCGTCTTTGCAATCAACACATTGAGAGGAGAACTACATCAAGGAATATGGGAGCCATCTTGTTTTTAATCATGCCACAACTACACTTTGGATATTGTAGTCCTGAAACAGAAGTATATTCTGTAATAGATGTAGTTAGGTAGGGGGCTAAATTAATGGATGGGTAAAATTGTAGGTGTAAAGCCCAAAATCATATGTAAGTTAACTGTGATCATTTATTGTAAATCATATTACCTAGCCATCTGGAAAAAAACATCTAACTATATGGACTGTTAATGCTGTATTTGTACTTTATAATTCAACCTTCAAAAGTGCATGGCAATCATTTAAGCAGAAACAAATAAGATTTTAGTGAGCTTTATTAAGGTTAACTCCTAATCTACAACTCAAACAATTATAGGAGCCATCGCTGTTCCACTACTGCTGCCATTTCAGATGTCACACTGGTGCTGACTGGAGAACCTCTCCACTAATCTTTACAATTTATTGTGCTCAACACCTCATTAGTTCACACAGCTAAGATATGAATCATGGTGAAACCACTCAAACAGAAATTTTGTTGTTTTCCAAGTTCTAAACTTACAATTGTTCATTTTGTAATTGAAATATCTTTGTGCCCTGAATTTAAAAGTGAAATATTTTCTGAAATTAGGATGTGCATTCAGTTTTAAGGTGGTAATGGGAATATATTCTATCACTCTATTCTTGGCAAGGTCAAGTATTCCAAGTTACTGGGCACTTAAACGACGCAGTGAAAGTGTTTAGTACTAAAAATAGTGATTCCTATACGATGTACACTGGATGCATAATTAACACAAAGATGAAGGCCATCCTATTAGAAGAAATATTACTCTTCTGCATTAAATTGTACCTGACTCCTGTATATGTTTTAGCTTCAAAAATTTATAGAAAGTGAGGAGAAACTGATCATCAAGCTGTGCACTGCACAAGATCGTCAACGAATAAACATGCAATGTAGTTGTGTCCTCTGGTTAATGCCCTGCTAACTGCAAAAACTACTTCATAAAATTATGGAAACTATATAAATAAAGGGTACAATTATTGAAGTCCTACTAAAGCAACATCCCATTTCACATTTAACACTAGACATTTGTCCTGTACAATTGCATGAAAGAGGCAGCAGAATTTAATCTCACTTTAGGCGAATTGCTGGCTTCTAATACTTCCATCACACTTCCTGAGAATTTTCAAGTGATCAGTATTTTCAAATCTGATGCAATGACATCATGAATATCAGTAGCATACGTTTACTGCAGGCAACGTAAAGCTGACAGCAAAGAACATCCATGACAATTGACAATTTTCTAAAGGAATTGCTTTTAAATGTGTAACTATATCATGGGGCACTAAACCTAGCTCTTTCAAGAAGCTTTTAACCACTTTCTAAACTTCTCCCACCTGATCAAGCAACAATACTCCCTCTACTTATTTGCAACTGTTCCCATTTTAACAGAAGGTTGTCATTGTGCAGCAATTATGACTAATTGTAGGACATTCACGTAGAAATGTTACATTGTAAAGTCATTTATACAACTTAATGTAAAATTCTGAAGGTATTGCAATACGTCAAAGTGGTTTGATCAGGCTGCACCATTGAAACACTGCTTGTTAAAATAAGAAATTTTATTTGTGCTACATGATCAACTAATCTTCAGGAGTAAAGTGGAGATTATGATCGAGAACCTGAGCAAATATAGTGTACCTCATGTCAGTGGGATTTTATTTATAATCAGCCATATTCTACTACAATTCTGCATTCCATAGCTGGATGTATGAATTTTCCAACATTTCTACCAAGTGTTGTTGCTGGCTGATTAAGAAAACATTAAAGAGTATTTACTATAGTGTGGTTATTTAGAATGTTTCATTAATTTCAATGAAACACATTCAGAAATTTCACACTTCAAGGATAAATGTTTCAAGTTCACTTACTTCAACAAAAAGACCTCTTCAGTTTTTTAAAAGAAATCAGACATATTATATGTTCAATAATCAAGATGAAGCCTTTGCCATTAAACTGATATTCCGCGTATGGAAATGTTGCACCCTGTCTCGTTTCAATTCATAATATCACTGTAACACGAAACATAAGAAAATGATCTCAAGCATTCAGTTACAATAGGGAAAATAGAAAAAAAAAGAAAATTGGGAATAGGAATAATTTATTGAAATGATTCATATTTCATTTGGACAGACTTATTTTAAAATTGAGCATTTTCTATTTTTACACCAAGATGAAATCTGCCCCATAAGCCGTAATGAGCCTAAGATGTCTTCTTCTGTGTTATTTAGGTTATGTGGCAATTTGGCAAAATATTTAGCATCCTTTGGAGAAATTGGTTCCCTCAAGTTTCTGATTTTTGTGCTGAATGTATAATTTGTTTGGAAGCAGTTGCATTGTATTTGTCTGACCTTGTAAAATATTGCACTTAAAGTGTTCCACCATCAAAACCATGATGGCACATCCTAATTTGAACTAGGGGCTATTTTCAAGATAAATTGTTGATTGAGTCCTGACAAATAGATATTTCAAACAAAGCATACCAACTTTATCATTAGATCGAGGTGCTGACATTGAGGTAATCTTGTTTCCCATTATTCACTTTACAGGTACTGCAAGCTGTGATGGCTAAATATATGGTACATTCTCAAAGGAAAGCTTCAGGCTTGAGCTGTTGCTTAGCTCAAAACAATTCGCACTTAAAGTATGAAAGACTCCATGGATTCTATCGTCTGTCATTAATTACTTTCCAGTTTATCTACGTAGTAATAATGTTTGATTTTCACTCATGGATTATTTTATTCGGTTGAAAATTGAAGTGAATATCAAATATGAATATCATTGACTGAAATGTATGGAAAATTAAATATATCAACAGTTATTAGTTTTGTTTTATCCTAGTTTGGAAAGGAAGTTAGCATTTTGCTATTTCATCTTTCTGCCTAGATTTGGATTTCTACTTTTCACAGCCTTTCTCTTTAAGAGTGATAGAATGAAAACTTCTTCCCTTTCATAATATATTTTTTACAAATATGTGAAATGTTTTAATAGACATAGTGAGTTTTTATTTGATATAACATCCATCTTATGGAGCGGCTCTTAATTTAACATGGATTGCCAAATTGACAATTACAATGAGTGAAGTCAGAAGATTGGTTAATGTCGGAAGTAGAGAAATCCACAGGTTGCTAGCAGTAAGGCGTAATGCTCTGTGTCTGGGAAGGGATAAAGGAAACTTGCAAATTGTGCTGTTGTCCTAGTAATCCTTGCTGTTGATGCTTAAAATGAAAGCAGGTTCCATTCAAAATAACACAGATTTTCCACTTTGATTAGAAGAAAATCAATCCACTGGAAAGAAAGACAAAACAAAATTCAAGCAATGTGTTTCTGCTGGTGAATAGGCAATTTGTATTTTGGCCATCCTCTTAAGATTAAAACACACAACTTGTTGTTCGTTGCATTCTCGTCTGATAAGTAAAATCTTTACTCTTTCCAAATCTGATGCTCTTTACATTTCATTGTACAAGACGTTTTGTACTTTTCAAATTATACATTTATAATTTTATTCAGAGCCTATAGTTTTGCATCTAAGCAATCTTTCTGTTCTTTCTAAAACTGGGACCTTCTTAGGTAAATTCTTTAGCCAACTGAATGCTGAAACATTAAACTTTAACTTAGCAGTGTCATTTGAGTAAATCAACTAAATTGAGATTTATTGAGCAGCTGCTCACAAATGCAACAGCCCCCATCAGCAACCAGGAAGTAGGCATGAAAAAATAGGGCATTGAAATCATGGACCCGTGTGGTTTATTTTTTTGCTGACCTTTTGCATGATTTAAGTTTATTTTTGTTCATTCTTGTTTAACCCAGCTATTCCTAAATATCATTCCGTGACCTGCCTACAACATTTGGGTGTGTTGGAAAATGCAGGTCCATTCATTTCTGAAAAATAACATCAGTAAATGCTAACATTTTATAATTTTAAGTAGGCCACAGTTTAAGTTAACAGAATTTCAGTTATAAAAATTTCACTTCAAAAAGTATTTGGGACCAGTGAGTGGAAAGTATCTCTACATTAATGTCACTGTGCAGGTAGATTTAAACAAATTGTTATAATGAACCAGGTACTGTAATGTAATGTGTTATTTAGAGCCTGAAGGTTTCCTTTGATGTTCTTTATCAAGCTTTTCTGTAATTAAATCAACTGTATGGTGCTGAAACTACGCCTTAAAGATTACAATTTAATCACCTGTTCCAATTCTTTCTATTTGAATACTCAAGGTTAATAGTACTGTTTCAAACCAGCTAAAAGTATTGTATACAAAAATATTAACCTAAAACCTCTGCAATGTCTAGTAGTTTTAGATTAAGAGCAGGTTCACATTTTGAGTGTACTCTGTGTATGAATAAGTACCACATTTATACTACTGTTTGTCAGAGCAAAAAAGATATTAATGTTTATTTTCTAGTACACAGGTGAGAGTTGGCACAGAGTCAAAAATTATCCAACAGCTTCTTTAGTTGGTTTAAATTTGAAACTAGTAACATATTTTCTGTAAAAAAAAAAAAACCCTTAAATTCGTTTGATTTCTTTGAAACATAATTTGTAAAAAGTGAACGACGGTTGTATCTGTGAGGTGTCCTAGTAGCTTCAGTACTATATCACTAAACTCTTAATAGAAAGTTCCGATTCAAATCCCAGTCTCAAGTTGACAGTATTGTACAGGCTTCAATAGAAGAAAGTTTAATGTGCTGTATACAACTTGTAATGTGGAAAAAGTGGAAAAAAACTGCTTTTGCCAGTAATTCAACCATGGCCAAGCATTACCTATCAAGTTGTAACATCCAACTCTTAGTGAATGCAGAGAATTCATTTTGAAAGGGCGAGGGGAAAAGTTATAAAACCAAATACAAATTTGGATTAAGGGATGACATCAGTAACTATAATTCCATAACATCATTTAGTTTCTTTGACCTGGAAGTTTTTTTAATTTAATAATGACGCCAAATCAACTCAAAGATGACAATAGTTGACTGACAATAATTGTTTTAATTTTTGGTGTTTTATTAGTTCACAAGTTTTCACTCAGTAGGATTGGCCAGGAACATACATTAGATTACATATTCTGTAGGTCTATTACATGAGGTCTTGTAGAGTGTCACTTCATGTACAAGTAATATTATATCCATCTCTCAATTCCTCAACCTCATAAGACAAGCACATACAAATACGAGTCAAAGCACAAAATTTTCACATATCATTCAACCTGGCTGAACACACTGAAATCCACCCATTCCTGTGAATTCCAATAAATCAAATTCGTGCCGGAAAGTGGTTAGATGCTACCCATGCTGCTTATCAACTTTATCTAATATACTGTGTTATCTGCTCATACAGGTCTTGCCATGAAGTGAAGGAAGGGAATAGCTTTAAGATTCCTTGCAATTGGCTAGCAGCAGAGCAATAATTCCAGTTTAAATTTCAGTGGTTTTCAATATATACCTTGAATGTGGTGCAAACTTTAATGGAAAACTTTGTGAATATGGTGTTAAATAAAATGAGTAATGGTATCATAATTCATTGTGCAGCTGGAATACAAAGAAACTTTACAATCAGAATAGAAAAAAGTTTGAGGCTAGGGTTATTTCAAAGAATACCTTTGGATTCATATGGGTAATATCCAATTGTTGGCAGTTGTTTTCACTTAAAATCAAACAACTGGAAGTTATAAACCTGGATGTTTGGTAATGATTTTTTTTATGGATGGCAGTGATTGACTTGAATGCTGTTTTTTTTCCCCCCCCATTTTCACAATGTAATTATTTTAAAAATATAACTTTGGGGGTTTCCTTCTTGAACCATTGTTGACTGAAATGCACTTTACAAAATTAAAAAAAAATGTTCCTTCCTGCATATATGTTGGTTGATATATGGGTGGGAGATAAGGATGCATTCATGTGAATCAAGACAAAATATATCTCTGTCAATTTGGAATACATAGTAAACTAGCATCTAGGATTATGTAGGTATGGTTAGTTTTGAGTTGTTTTCTGTTCCAAATGCAACTGTTATTTGTGCCTTGTGTGTTGTCCCACTCAATGGTCACTCAATCTTGTTTATTCAGAAAGCCAAGCAGTAATATTTGGTTTTGGGCAGTGGTAAATAAAGGGCCATATGGATTGTCCATTCATGATACATAGCACTGATACTCAGTTTAATTACATCCAATGAAATCAAATACCAGATACTACACATATCAGTGGCTGGTCCAATACTGTTCACTTTCCACCACCATTCAAGAGATATTACGTCTTTTGGCTGTATAGTTTTAGACATGCCATTGTCAAACCAGCCATCAAATAAATTGCAAACAAAAGTAACCTTAGAGGAAATTATACAATCCTCTTATCTAAAGGATTTCTATAACTCTTTTAAATCTTGTACATTTCAGCACTGAGATCTTAACATCATATTCAAATATCCATCCATATAAAATTAACGTGACTTCCACAGGATAAACACCACCAAATTCTAAATAAGCAAGTTGTAGAATTCTTCTGACTTGTAATCAGATTAGTCTGACGGAAACAATTTTTATTTAATTATTAATAATTATTTTCTACAGCCTTAGACTTGTGGTTATATAATAGTTACGGAATTTACAACAACATCGAAGTTATCAGTTCACGTAAAACCATAGTAAATTAATTTCTGCAATTCTGCTAATTTGCGATACAATAAAATGACCATGGAAACATTTTTCTAATAAATATATCTAGTACCTTAAATATCCAATTGACTTCCTAATGTTGTACAAGAAAAGGGAGCTTCCTTCCCTACCTGCAACAAAATCAGAAGTTGCTGGAAAAGCTCAGCAGGTCTGGCAACATCTGTGAAGAAAAAAATCAGAGGTAAGATTTTGGGTCCGGTGACATTTCCTCAGAGGAAGGGTCACCGGACCCAAAACATTAACTTTGTTTTTTTTCTTCACAGATGCTGCCAGACTTGCTGAGCTTCTCCAGCAACTTCTATTTTTGTTCCTGATTTACAGCATCCACAGTTCTTTTGATCCTTCCCTACCTGGTCTGATCTACATATGATTTCAGTTATAAGCTCTTTTCTTTTTATCATTTGTGTTTAAGCATATAGCTTTTTTTTTGTACTCTGATATGTTTTCCAAAGCTGTGTAATACAACTGATTATTCTTTTTCTATTATTTGTGTCAATATACTCTGGTAAAAAAAAAAGTTTGAATTGGTCACTAAGTGGAAATTCACTCTGAAATAATCAAAGTAAGCTGACAAATTTTAAAAGATGGCAAATATTTACAAATTGTGTTTCCTATGGTTGAATCTGCTGGCAGTACCTTTACATTTTCTGGTCAAATATTTTTAAAAAAAGATACTATTTTTAAGCAAAAAGTTGCAGAATGCAAACTTATCTAACAAAGTAATTTAGTTGAATTAGTTAAACTTTGAGCATATTCCACAAGTTAATTTTGAACCTTATTCATGTGAAACATATCTGCACCAGTTTATAATACTTGTTGCTACAGCAACATGAAACTTCTTATAAAAGCAAAAAAAAAGTAAAATGCAGATTAAGTGTTCACCATTGTGCCACAGTTTTCAATTATATAAACATATATTTGGTGCTTGTTTCTTCATGTAAATATACACTGCAGCAACCAAAAATTGAAATGTTTAATCTTGGTCAACTGTGTAAATATGCAGTATGGAAAAACTCATTGACAATGGTCTGTTGTTGCCCTAAAATGTTGTACATGAATAACTTGCATTTCTGGTGTTTAAAAGAAGAATTCTTCTCTCACAGCTGTTTCTTTTTAATGCAGATGACCTTGTGTTAATGATAACTAGTGAAACAAGGTCATGGCAATTGATAGAGATGAATATCAAGACCCTTTACATGCAAGTAACTTCATTATTTTTCTTAATTGATACCTTCCAATACCAGAAGGTATCTGTGATATTTAGACAGTGTGCTTGATAGATGCACTATAAATAATTTATGTGAGCAGTTGTGGACCAGCGGGTGTTCCTTTGTGTTTATGTATAAGAAGACAATTGAGCAAACTTTTAAAGAAAGCTGAAAACATATAAACAGTAACTATCTGTTAAGCATGATAGTATGTCATGGCATCGTAATATTTTGCTATTTAATTTTTTTTCGAATGTTATTCAATGTAACTAGAAATGTTATTAATGAAGTTAAACTCTTAATTTCACTTGTGTTACTTTTATAATTCAAATGGTTCTTTATACAAATGTAGAGGTGAACAGTTACTCTGAATTTATTATCAGAGTATTTGCACAGTTACTGGTTAGGTAATTAAAAAGAAAACTGCCTTTTACAGTATAGAATTTTTTACAGGTTTCTCTTGTGTCATGTTTTTGGAGTTGTAGGATATATTTGAAGAGGTTTTTTCTGTACGTATAGAGTTTGGACTACCACTTTCAAGCCTATGTGATGTGCTTCTAATGGTTATTTCTGATAGTGTGTGTGGATTAATGTGCTAAACAGAAGCAATGATTTATTGTGAGAGGCTAGGCAACAATTTCTATTGGCATTTTAAAGATCCGCTCCACAAAGATGATTGGAAATCTGTTTTATTGGATTGCTAATAAAGCTTCTTTTTGATAAGCCCTTAGAATTTGTCAGCCAATATTTATGGAATTAATTAAACTAGTGGAGGCATTTCCCTTTGGTTTAATTGTATCCAGTTGGATAGCTGAAATGCTAATTTTGATTGGATGATTTTGGGTCTGAATATACTCAAGTGTTTTCATCTCTTCTTCATTGAACATATTGGATGTAAAGTTGAAAGACTTAACGAGGTATGTGTCAGGCATTATTCTCTTTCACCAGATATTAGAAGTATATTCAGTCAGTGTTATACTGTTTAATGCACAACGTCCTTTATTCTTTAGTCATACATAGACTTGGACGTAATGTTTAAACATTAGTAAAAGAGTATCCAAAACTCTATGCAATTTTGCTGTAATACCTCAGCCTTAAAATGATATATTAAAATCCAAAAGAAATTAGAAATATTTTAGGACTCAAAATATCAACAAATACGATCATATTTTAATAGTTTTCAAATCCTATGACAACCAAATAGAAAGGAACAAAAACAGAATTTGCTGGGAAAGCTCAGCAGGTCTGGCAGCATCTGTGAAGGAAAAAAGATCAGAGTTAATGTTTTGGGTCCGGGGTGCCGTTCACCAGACCCAAAACATTAATTCTGATATTTTCTTTACAGATGCTGTCAGACCTGCTGAGCTTTTCCAGCAAATTCTGTTTTTGTTCCTTATTTACAGCATCCGCAGTTCTTTCAGTTTTTATTTCCAAATAGAAAGGATGTTGTCTCCTCATTTATCCATTTTAACAATTAAAGATAATTTAGTTCTAATTTGATATTCTATGTGCATTGATGTTTACTTTAAAAATGCAGAATTAAAGTGTGATTTTATTTGTTAAAACAACTAAAGTAAAATAATTTCCACAGGGAGATCCCTCTAAGATGTAAACTGATTTGATAATCTGAATTGGAAAGATCTATGTTTCTATAATCCCAGAAATACATTTTTGTCAGAACATGAAAGAACAAGTGCAAGAATCAGTTTATACCCAAACAATGAAAGTGGAGGAGCACAGCCAATACAGATTGCTGAATGGTCTTGTTTATATTCCATTAAGTTGGATTGCTAGAATTTAAAAGCATTAACATTACAATGTTTACTAAACTGTGAAGTCATAGACTCCCATGTTAGCATGTTATTATGTTTGCTCTAGGTGCTCTGTTTTCAGTTACTTTTTATGAACAAGTTTTGCAAAGCAGTTCTTTGTAAACTCGCTTTATATTTTGTACATTATAATGTATACAATGTATATAGGCAATGTCAGCGACAGCAATCATTTAAAATGTCTGTAGTCTTTCAAAGAAACTAATGGATTCTGTACTTTGTGCCAGAGTAAGTTATCAACCACCTCTGCTCTTGGCCTAATACCAACCTGAAGCATGTTTCTTCGACAACAGAATTATCATCTGTCTAACCTTCTGTCCATTAAAGTGATGCTACATAACTGTCTGTTGTTTTATTTCTAATGTCAGTTGGAAGGTGAATTGGACTATGTACTTTTCAATTCTATTTTGCACGTCATGAAGACAAACCTAAAGATACAAATGGACGCAGTTTGCGGTTGATCATTTATAAATCTGTATAGAATAGGATAAAATATTCGATGAAATATTGTATTCATCTTTGCTGATCTACAGTGCTTTATATGAATATGGTATGAAGCAGCTAGAACCAGCTTCATCGTTAGACATCAATCGCCTCAACCTCTCCACCCCTCTCACCCACTCCAACCTCTCCCCCGCAGAACGTGCAGCCCTCCGCTCCCTCCGCTCCAATCCCAACCTCACCATAAAACCCGCGGACAAGGGAGGTGCAGTTGTAGTATGGCGCACTGACCTCTACATCGCCGAGGCCGGACGCCAACTCTCCGACACCTCCTCCTACCGCCCCCTTGATCATGACCCCACCCCTGAGCACCAAACCATCATCTCGCAAACCATCCACAACCTCATCACCTCAGGTGACCTCCCACCCACGGCCTCCAACCTCATCGTTCCCCAACCTCGCACTGCCCGCTTCTATCTCCTTCCCAAAATCCACAAACCTGAATGCCCTGGTCGACCCATTGTCTCCGCCTGCTCCTGCCCCACCGAACTGATCTCCAACTATCTCGACTCCATTTTCTCCCCCTTGGTCCAGGAACTCCCTACCTATGTCCGTGACACCACCCACGCCCTCCACCTCCTCCAGAACTTCCAATTCCCCGGTCCCCAACACCTCATCTTTACCATGGACGTCCAGTCCCTCTACACCTGCATTCCCCATGCAGATGGCCTTAAGGCCCTCCGCTTCTTCCTGTCCCGCAGGCCCGACCAGTCCCCCTCCACTGACACCCTCATCCGCTTAGCCGAACTCGTCCTCACACTCAACAACTTCTCTTTCAATTCCTCCCACTTCCTACAGACAAAGGGGGTAGCCATGGGTACCCGCATGGGCCCAAGCTACGCCTGCCTCTTTGTAGGTTACGTGGAACAATCCCTCTTCCGTACCTACACCGGCCCTAAACCCCACCTCTTCCTCCGTTACATTGATGACTGTATCGGCGCCGCCTCGTGCTCCCACGAGGAGCTCGAACAGTTCATACACTTCACTAACACCTTCCACCCCAACCTTAAGTTTACCTGGACCATCTCTAACACCTCTCTCCCCTTCCTGGACCTCTCTGTCTCCATATCGGGCAACCACCTCGAAACCGATATTCATTTCAAGCCCACCGACTCCCACAGCTACCTAGAATACTCCTCCTCCCACCCACCTTCCTGCAAAAATGCTATCCCCTATTCCCAATTCCTTCGCCTCCGCCGCATCTGCTCCCAGGATGAGGCATTCCACTCCCGTACATCTCAGTTGTCCTCGTTTTTCAAGGACCGTAACTTCCCCTCCTCGGTGGTCGAGAACGCCCTCAACCGTGTCTCCCACATCTCCCGCACCTCATCCCTCACACCCCGTCCACGCAATAAAAACCAAAAAAGAATCCCCCTCGTCCTCACGTACCACCCCACCAACCTCCGGATCCAACGCATCATCCTCCGACACTTCCGCCATCTGCAATCCGACCCCACCACCAAAGACATCTTTCCCTCCCCACCTTTATCTGCTTTCCGGAGGGACAACTCTCTCCGTGACTCCCTTGTCCGCTCCACACTCCCCTCCAGCTCCACCACACCCGGCACTTTTCCCTGCAACCGCAGGAAGTGCTACACCTGC